CTTATCTTTCCGCCCTGCACCCTAACAGCCCCCAGCTCCTGCCCTCCTCCCATCAAAGGCCGAGCCTTCCACTAGGGCTTGTGGCCAGCCCAAGCCTAGACTTCACCGCTTCCACTCATGCCCCCTCAGTGGCTCCATCGCTCCCTCCCTGAGACTGAAGACCAAGGAGGCTCCATTAATCCCCGGCTGAAATAGGAAGGGGGAAGGGAAGGGAGAGAAGGAACCCTAGACCTATAGCACCTCCCAGCCATGCTCTCCTTATGGAAGACGGTGATCACAACTAAGAGGAAAACTTCACTTTGTTGTGACTAGAGATTTCTGTCAGAATTTTCTTCCAAAACAAGACCCAAACTTTCCTGCAGCCACAAGAGAACAAATGGAACTTTTCGTTCTAAACAGTTTCCACTGAGCTCCTCCTTAAGAAAGAAACGATAATCTTTACTGTGGATGCATTCGCATCAGCGGGTGCAATTTTGAATTAATTGTTATATTAGACTTTTAAAAGTGACTTCTGTAATTTTCTAAACAACGCTTCACAAGTCTTGAAGTTGATTCACACATCAGAGACTTCAATGGGTATGTATGTGTGTGTGTGTTTAATGAGGTGAAATAACTTGTATAGTTTTCTCCTTGTCTCTACTTCTTCACCTGTCTTTCATTATGACTTTAAAATTTTATCATGAACTATTTCGGGCTCTGCAGAAAGTATAGAGGGCAAAAACACACCTGATACTCAGGTTTAATTAATATAAACATTTCTTCAAATGTGCCTTAGATCTATTTGAAAAGTAAATAAAAACCTTGAGAATTGAAGGTAAGATAAAGAGCTTCCCAGACAAGTGAAAGCTAAAGGAGTTTATCGCCACCAAAACAGTATTATACAAAATGTTAAAAGGCCTTTGTTTTTAAATCCCCACCCAAGGATAATCCTCCCCCCCCCCCCCCCCAAACTGATTTCTAGAGAAAATAGAAGAAAGGAGGAGAGGGAAAGAGAGAGAGGGAAACACTGACATGAGAGAGACCATCACTTGGTTCCCTCCCACACACACCCCTACTGGGGCTAGGGAACCGGCAACTGAGGCATACATCCTTGGCCTGGAATCAAATCCACGACCCCTCAGTCCATGGGCCGACCCTCTAATCACTGAGCAAAAAGGTTTTCTTTAAGAATAAGAAGGAGATAAAAAAAAAATGGCAGCAGAGTAAGTGGATGCTGCATGGAAAAACAAAACAAACAAAAAAACTTCAATGGCCCGGCCAGTGACTCTCAGTGGTTGAATATCAACCCATATGCCAAGGTTGCGGGTTCAATCCCCGCTGAGGGCACACACAAGAATCAACCAATGAATGCATGAGTAAGAACAACGCATCGACTTTTCTCTCCCTCTCTCCCACTTCCTTTCTCACTAAAATCAATCACTAATTTTTTATTTTAATTAAAAGACAGGGGAGCCAGGATCAGAGAAGATCCCTGGTGATCTATGTATATTAGTCAGGGCCCTGGGGGGCAAATCCTGTTGGCTTTCTCTAGGAAGATCATAAATTGCCGGCTACCCCTGAGAATGAGAGGGTGCGGGAGTTGTGGGGAAAAATAACTAATGTTCAGTCATCTTAATATTAGTGTCCTCTTGAGGAGGGTCTTTTAAAATCATCATCTTCCCAAGTGGTTTGATAGAAACCTTCCTATTTCTGAAAGTACTTGCAAGTAAAGGCTTTCTATTTATTGCATACCTGCAGGAGGATTAATGAGGGCTGGGGTCTGGACTGTTCGGCCGTGGAGGCACCATTTCCCGTGTTTAAGGAGAGCACAGCTCTGGGGACTTGGAGCAGCAGCAGCTCCAGGAGGAGCGGGGAGTGGGGTGCGGGGCGTGTATGGGCAGGAGTAGCCAGGAGCGGAAAGGAGCCCTGGGCTTGGTGCCACTGTGGTGGGCCGGCTGCCCTCCGGGGAGGGAGCGGAGGGAAAGGTCTGGAGGAAAGTAGAGCCAGGAATTTCGGAGCTGGACGGGGCAGGCAGCCGCAGCCAGAGGCAGGCAGCCATGGCGGCAGGGGTGGGGAAGAGAGGCAGTTGGCAGAGGCTGAGTGAAGAAAGGAGCAAAAGAGAGGTGAGGTCCCAGTTCTTGCTCCCTTCCTTTTTGTTAATATCTCACTAACCAACTATCGCAGCGGTTCTCAACCTGTGGGTCGCGACCCCTTTGAGGGTCAAACGACCCTTTCACAGCGGTTGCCTAAGACCATTGGAAAACACATATATAATTACATATTGTTTTTGTGATTAATCACTGTGCTTTAATTATGTTCAATTTGTAACAATGAAATTGGGGGTCACCACAACATGAGGAACTGTATTAAAGGGTCGCGGCATTAGGAAGGTTGAGAACCACTGAACTATTGTAACAAAACCACCTGGGACATTAAACAAAAGGACATAAGTGACATTCCAAGTTCCATCTAGTTATTTAAGTTTCCTGAGATCTTCCACTTAAAAAAATTTATTTACTGACTGTAGAGAAACATCGGCGTGTTGTTCCACTTATTCATGCATTCATTGGATCATTCTTGTATGTGCCCTGACTGGGGGTCGAATCCACAACCTTGGGTATAGGGACGACGCTCTAATCAACTGGGCTGCCTGGCCTGAGCTCAGACTGATTCCGTTATAATAATGTAGTTATTACCTAACAGGAAAGAATCAAAGGGAAGACTAGATACAGGCCTGCCATTTAGACAGCTTGGCCAAAAGCGACATTTACCACTGTCCACGTCAGTTCCCTGCTCATCAGTGGGGAAAGGGCCTGGGCAAAGGCAATTAGACACACGTCCAGGTCTGAGTGAGGCGGGAAGATGCCTGCCCATCAATCACACCTGAAAACATAATTGGCCGGGACGGACGTGGCCACCACGAGCCAAGATCTAACTATACAAACTTCTACAAAGGAGCCACTCACTCCGGGCTCTGGGCGCAGGGCCCTCCTGGGACTCCTGCTGCGGCCGAGGCGCCAGGCCCTGTTGGGCGCCAGCGTGGAGTGACGGCCGCGGACTGACGGAGGTGGACTGATGGACATGGACTGATGGCCGCGGACTGACGGAGGTGGACTGGTGGCCACGGACTGACGGCCGCGGACTGACGGAGGTGGACTGGTGGACATGGACTGACGGCCGCGGACTGACGGAGGTGGACTGATGGACATGGACTGACGGCCGCGGACTGACGGAGGTGGACTGATGGACATGGACTGATGGCCGCGGACTGACGGAGGTGGACTGGTGGCCACGGACTGACGGCCGCGGACTGACGGAGGTGGACTGATGGACATGGACTGATGGCCGCGGACTGACGGAGGTGGACTGATGGACATGGACTGACGGCCGCGGACTGACGGAGGTGGACTGATGGACATGGACTGACGGCCGCGGACTGACGGAGGTGGACTGATGGACATGGACTGACGGCCGCGGACTGACGGAGGTGGACTGATGGACATGGACTGACGGCCGCGGACTGACGGAGGTGGACTGATGGACATGGACTGACGGCCGCGGACTGACGGAGGTGGACTGATGGACATGGACTGACGGCCGCGGACTGACGGAGGTGGACTGATGGACATGGACTGACGGCCGCGGACTGACGGAGGTGGACTGATGGACATGGACTGACGGAGGTGGACTGATGGACGTGGACTGACGGCCGCGGACTGACGGAGGTGGACTGGTGGACGTGGACTGACGGCCGCGGACTGACGGAGGTGGACTGATGGACGTGGACTGACGGCCGCGGACTGACGGAGGTGGACTGATGGACGTGGACTGATGGCCGCGGACTGACGGAGGTGGACTGATGGACGTGGACTGACGGCCGCGGACTGACGGAGGTGGACTGATGGACATGGACTGACGGCCGCGCACTGACGGAGGTGGACTGATGAACGTGGACTGATGGCCGCGCACTGACGGAGGTGGACTGGTGGACATGGACTGACGGCCGCGGACTGACGGAGGTGGACTGACGGCGGCGGACTGACCGACGCGGACTGACGGCCATGGACTGACCGACGCGGACTGACGGACGCGGACTGACGGACACTGATCTGGCCCGAACGCTGAATCGCACGGGCTGCAACATGGGCTGGGAACCGGGCACTGGCTCTGCTCTGACTGGCTCACCGCCCAGCTGCCCCGTTCAGGACGGGCTTGTGGGACATAGGACGTTGCGACCTAAGAAACTGCAGCCGGTGAAATCCACGCCTCTCCCCCTCCCACGGCGACTTCCAAAAAGGCTTATTTCAGCGGCTTCCCTCTGGCATCAGAATCTCCCGCTTTTTAAAACAAAAATAGGAATGGAATTAGTGACAAACTTACTCCATGTGAACCAATTGGAACATAGTTTGTTCATCTCATTAGGAGATGCATCTCCAATGAATGTTTACTTTTTCTTCTTATGTTAAAGCACCAACGACCTTTAAGAACTCAGAAAGTGTGAACAGATAGTGCAAGCATGACACACAAACCAAAAGACTGTGTCTCCCAGCGCTGGGTCCCAGCTGCAGTTCCCCTCCCCGCCCCAGCCACAGCCACGGCGACCGGTCCCAAATCCACCCGCGATTGAAAATCAAACTCAGGACGGCCATCGCGGCACGTTTCACCAATCACAGGAAGCAGCTCGATTCTAAGAAAGAAAAAGCCCGCCCTTTCCGGTAGCTCCCAGGGGCGGGCCGCCTCACCGGAACTGAGTGATGCCTCCGGGGCTTACACCGCACAGATTGTGATTGGCTGTCGTTCAGCATTATGTTAATAAGGTGGCCGTTTTTTAAAAACTTTGGACATTTAATTTATTTCCACCTAAGTGTTAAAAATCATTGTTGAGTGATAGTATCTGAAGGATTATACAGACTGGAAAGCTTTTGTCTTTGCCAGTGGGATGAGAACTAGGGAAACTAAGTCACCATGACTGCAAAGTGTGCGGCGGCGGTAGACCTGGCGGAGGCGGCGGTGTCTACGTTAAGACTATACTTTCAGGGATCATTTCTATAGTCCGTTACTAGAGAAGTTTCTCTGAACGTGTAGAGCACCCGAAACCACGAGGAGGAGATGCAGCATTCTCTCCTGAGCGTGAAGCCGGCTCTCGGTGTTGCTTCGGCAACTGCCGCTTGCCATTGATGATCGTTCTTCTCTCTCTCGGGGGAGAAGAGGGAGAGGATGCATTCTGAGTGGCTTTCGGTTTTTTACTCGGTTGAAAAAGTAGAGTGAGTTCGGAATCACCTTTGTAACTTGTTTCCGCAGTAGTGGGGAACTACTCTGGATACTTTAGAAGTACGTATGGTTGTGCTTGATTTTTTCTGAAGAGTCTATGTTCTTTTTAGGCTTGGGGAAAGTAAAAGGAGGTACACCCATCAGTTACTTTCCTTGCCAGTGCGCCCCCTACTGGGGATCGAGCTCAAAACCGGGGGGGAGTCAACCTGGAAACCTCTGTGCAGGGGAGGATGCTATGAGGTACATAAGAGTTAGCAAAATAAAACGTTTAAACTATACCTTTCTTCATACGTTCTTGTAAAGTGGTTTATTCTCCCCCATACAAATCCCTCAGTGCTACGATTATTTCTTTTGTTTCTTCATCTAGGTGCAATCTTATTTTTTAGGTTTTTATGAAATTTATTGTATAACAAATTCATATGCACTTTATAATACAGCATCATGTATACTCTATATTCAATCCATAAGGTGTATTTTAACACTCAGAGACTTAAAGTTTTCTTATTTAAAACATCTATAAAGAGCCCTACCGGTGTGTTTCAGTTGGTTGATTCCCACCAAAAGGTTGTGGGACACAGTCTGGGTGAGTATGGGAGGCAACCAATTGATATTTGTCAGATCAATGTTTCTCTCTCTCTCCCTCCCTCCTCCCCTTCCCTTCCTCTCTTTATGTTAGGGTTGCCCAAAGAGGAACGCAGGAGGCCAAAGGGGGCAAAGAATTCTAAATGTATTATTACATCTGCTAACAGGGCTGAGGCCAAGATGGCATCAGCAGAGCAGAGCAGAGGGAGCGGGATATTTACGTCTCGTAAAGGTCAGTCAGTGTAACCAGTGGGACCGGTCCCGGTGGCGGCCAGGTGTGGGCGGTCCGGTCCGCTGGAACCTGGGCGAGGGAGTTTCCTGGGAGCCGCTAATCAGGAGATCTATAATGAGAAGATCGCCGCAGGGGCCAGAGCCCCCAGGCGCATAATGGAGCCCAAGAAGGTACCTAACATTCCAGGGAGGGGCGAGAGCCCTGAGCAGAGCATAATGGAGTGCATGAATGCGCCTAACACTGAAATACATTTTTTTTTTAATTAGAGAATAGAGAGAGAGGCCTGGCAGGATGGCTCAGCTGGCTGGAGCATGATGCTCCAGGGTTGCGAGCTGGGTTTAGCCAGGGGAGGGCACATACAGGAATCAAACTGGCAATCCCAGGTTCCTTTCAGGACTTGACGGCTGTTCTTGTCTGTTTATCCACACTTCAGTTGTTTTGTTTTTTTGCTTATTGACTTGTAGGAGTTTTTGTTTTTTTTTTTAATCCTCACCCGAGGACATGATTTTTATTTTTATTTTAGAGGAAGAGGGAGACAGAAATATCGATGTGAGGGTGAATCCATCTGTTGCCTCCTGGAGGCGCCTGGACTGGGGGATCCAACCATAACCTGGGTATGTGCCCTGACCAGGAGTGGAACCTGTGACCTTCCAGTGTAAGGGACGATGCTCTAACCTACTGAGCCACAAGGGCCAGGGCTGTTCTTATTTTTTATTTCAGGAAACTAAACCTTTGACAGTTTATATATGTTGCAAATTATTTCCTACAGTTTGTCAGTGTTTTTTTAATTTGTTTGTCATACAGAAGTTTTAATATATTTAATCTATTAATTTTCACTTTATAGTTTTCTAGATCTTAAGAAATCTTTCCCTACACTAATGTTATAAAACTATGCTCCTGTATTTTCTTCTAAAAGTTTTAAAGTTTTTTACAATTGAACTCCTAATTCCTAAAAAGTCTAGATTTTTTTTTCCTGTGTGGTGTGAAGGACCTTCCTTTTATTTTTAATCCTAACCTAAAGATATTTTTTCCACTGATTTCTAGAGAGAGTAGAAGGGAGGGAGGGAAAGAGAAACATGTATATGAGAGAGACACATAAATTGGTTGCCTCCTGCACACACCCCTACTAGGGCCAGGGATCAAGCCTGCAACCGAGGTATGTGCCCAGAATCAAAACTGGAACCCTTCAGTCCACAGGTCAGTGCTCTATCCACTGAGCCAAACTGGCTAGGACCAGATCTAATTTCTAAGTTAAATTATTCACATACTATACCAGATTTTATATATATATATATATATATATATATATATATATATATATATACTTTTTTTTAATTGACTTCAGAGAAGGGAGAGGGAGAGAGAAATAGAAACATCAATGATGAGAGAGAATCATTGATTGGCTGCCTCCTGCACGCCCCCTACTGGGGATCAAGCCCACAACCCGGGCATGTGCCCTTAACCAGAATTGAACCAGGAACCCTTCAGTCCGCAGGCCAACCCTCTATCCACTGAGCCAACTCAACCAGGGCCCAGACCTAATTTTTTTTAAATATATTTTTATTCTTTCAGAGAGAGGAAGGGAGAGGGAGAAAGAGATAGAAACATGGATGAGAGCCCAGCCAGGTGTGGCTCAGTGTTTGAACATCGACCCAGGAACCAAGAGGTCACCAGTTCCATTCCTGGTCAGGGCCTATGCCTGGGTCGCAGGCTCAATACGCAGTAGGGGCGTGCAGGAAGCAGCTGATCAATGATTCTCTCTCATCACTGATGTTCCTATCTCTCCCTCTCCCTTCCTCTCTGAAATCAATAAAAATAATTTTTTTAAAAAAAGAGAGAGAGAAACACCAACTGGCTGCCTCCTGCACGCCCCCTACTTGGGATCAAGCCCCAAACCCGGGCATGTGCCCTGACCAGGAATCGAACTGGGGACCGCCTGGTGCATGGGAATGACGCTCAACCAACTGAGCCACATTGGCTCAGTTAAATAAAATATTTTTGTTGTTGTTGTTAATCCTCACCCCAGGATATTTTTCCATTGAGTTTTAGAGCGTGGAAGGGAGGGAGAGAGAAACATCGATGTGAGACGCACACATTGATTGGTTACTTCCCACATGCACCCTGCCCAGGGCCAGGGTGGGGGATGTGCCCGCAACCAAGGTATGTGCCCTTGGCTGGAATTGAACCCGGGACCCTTCAGTTCCAGGGCTGACACTCTATCCACTGAGCCAAACTGCCTAGGGCCCTAATTTTAATTTTGTTTTTATTATTAATTTTTAAAGATATGTTATTGATTTTTTTCTTTTTAGAGAAAGAGTAAAGGAGAAGGGGAGAGAGAGAGAAGCATCAATGTGAGAGAGAAACATCGATAGCTTACCCCCTGTACCAACCCACAACCAGGGCATGTGTTCTGACCAGGAACTGAACAAGCAAACTTTTGGTGCACAGAACGACACTCTAACTGAACCGCACCCACTGAGCCCCACCAGGGCATTCTCGACGACGTCCTTGGTGACTGCAAGGACTTGGAGACAACGTAACGTCCATCATTGAGAGACCGGTAGGTAAAATGTGGTATTTATGCAAGAGTCGGAAATGCATTAGATGTCACATTGCATCAAAAATGTTTCCTGCCAAACCGGTTTGGCTCAGTGGATAGAGCGTCGACCTGCGGACTGAGAGGTCCCGGGTTCGATTCTGGTCAAGGGCATGTACCTTGGTTGCAGGCACATCCCCAGTGGGAGTGTGCAGGAGGCAGCCGATCGATGTTTCTCTCTCATCGATGTTTCTAGCTCTCTATCTCTCTCCCTTCCTCTCTGTAAAAAATCAATAAAATATATTTTTTTAAAAATGTTTCATGACAAAAATGACATGTATGATACAATATTATTATTGTAATCACATATTTTATTGCCCTTAACAAAACGTAATATACACCTGATTTTATTTAATAACATATCCTGGACATCACACCATATCAGTTAACAGAGATCTTCTTCATTCTCTTTTGGCTGCATAGTATTGGATATACTATTCAGCCAGTTCCTTTAGGTGGGAATTTTGAGTTTGGTACACAATTTTGCTAGAACAGATAATACTGCACCTACGGATAATATCCACAACTTTGTGGGTGTGTATCTTTGGAATAAATTTCCAGAAGTGAATTCCTGGGTCGAAGAGTAAATGCATATGCGGTTTTGTTACATGTTGCCAAATTCCACTGGTTTTACACAATGTGTGCACCGCCCAGCAATGTATGAGGGCGTCTGTTTCCCCACTGCTTTGCCAACAGGAAGTTTTAAAATTTCTACTCACCTAAGTGGTGGGAAATAGTACATCACTATAGTTTTTATTTGGATCTCTCTTTTTTACAAGGGAAGCGGAGTATTTTTCCATATGCTTAAAACTCATTTTTGTATGTGTGTATTTTCTGTTCATAAATTCTGTCCGATTTTCAATTGGGTTTTTGCTCTTTTCTTGGAAACCTGCACCACCACCTTTCAGCCATACATCACAGAAAAGAAAAGTTTCCCTTAATTTTATTTTATCTCTTTCCCTTAATTCTGAAGAGCTCTTTAGGTACTAAGGACATTAGTTCTTTATCTGCCATGTAAGTTGCTAATATCTTGTCCCAGTTTTTAATTTTTGCCAAACAAAAGTGTTTTTTAATGGAGTCAAATTGATCAATTTTTATATTTTCTGGATTTAAAATTTTTTTTATTGATTTCAGAGAGGAAGGGAGAGAGAGAGAGAAACATCAATGATGAGAGAGAATCATTGACTGGCTGCTTCCTGCACGCCCCACACCAGGGATCAAACCCACAACTGGACATGTGCCTTGACCAGGAATCAAACCGTGACCTTCTGGTTCTGGTTCATACATTGATGCTCAACCACTGGGCCATCCCGGCTGGGCAATATGTTTTCTGGATTTTGAATCATAATTAAAAAGGCTTCCTTCACATACATATTATTAAGAAAAATTCAGGCATGTTTTCTTCTACTACTTCATGTAGTTTTATTTTTCATATGTAGATCCCTGGTCTGTTTGAAGTTTATTCTGGTACGAGGGGCCCGATGAAATTCGTGCAAGAGTAGGCTTCCCCCCCTCCCCCCCACCCTCCCCTCCCAGCTACCTGCACCGGCTTCACTTTGGCCACTGGGAGGCACCTGGGACCCAGGCTTCTCTTGAAGCCCCGGCTTTGTCTAGAACAGTGGTTCTCAACCTGTGGGTCGCCAACCTGTGGGTCGAAACCCCTTTGGGGGTCGAACGACCCTTTCACAGGGATCGCCTAAGACCATCGGAAAACACATATATAATTACATATTGTTTTTGTGATTAATCACTATGCTTTCATTATGTTCAATTTGTAACAATGAAAATATATCCTGTATATCAGATATTTACATTATGACTCATAACAGTAGCAAAATTACAGTTATGAAGTAGCAACGAGAATAACTTTATGGTTGGGGGTCACCACAACATGAGGAACTGTACTAAAGGGTCGCGGCATTAGGAAGGTTGAGAACCACTGATCTAGAAGGTCGTCAGAAAGGATGTCCTGTCTAATTAGCATATTACGCTTTTATTATTATAGATATGTTTATTCATCTGTGGATCCAGTTTTATATTTTTCCAAATGGCTGAAACAACTGTTATGAGATGGGAGCTAATTGCTCCTGGACATTTTGGCAGAAGATTTTTTAATTATCATGGCCAGTTTCTTTAGTGGATATTGATCAATTCACGTTTTTTCTTCATTATGCCAGTTTTGACATATTACACATTTTTTTTCTAGAATTTTATCCATCTTGTCTGTTTTGAAATTTATTGATGTAAAGTTCATTAACTGTTTTTATTAAATAAATTTTCATTGATTTATTTTTAGAGAAAGAGAAATATAATATGCAAATGAACAAAGTAGGGAATGAAAAGGGGGAAACAAGGACAGACACAGCATAGGTAACGATATTTTTAAAAAAATTAATGAACAGTCTGGCCAGGTTGGAGTGCTGTCCCGATGCGCCAGGGTTGTGGGTTTGGTCCCCCGTAGCTTTTTCCTAAATTATTGAGCAAGGTCTCAGTGATATTTTCAGTTAGGAATGCTTTCAGCTTCAGGTTAAAGAAAACATGAATGAAGGCGGTTTATACAAATAGGTGGGGTTTTGCTTTGCTTTGTTCTGTTCTGCGTTACAGTAAGGAGTGTGGATGTAGGTGGCTGCTGGCCTTGGTTCAGGTGTTTAGCCAGGAACCTTCTTGGGCTCTTCCTCCCTCCCTCCTTGGCTCCTGAGCGTGTGGGATGTTTTGATCTGATGACTATCAGCTGACCTCATGATCACAAGGCAGCTGTCACACTCCAGACAGAATGTCCATGTGCAAGGCAAGAAATAAAGGGGTGAGATATTATAAGCAAAGCACCCCCTTCTGTTAGAAAACAACATATCCTGCCCACAAGTCCCAGCACTCCCACTTACATCTCATTGGCCAGAACTGTCATATGGCCGACTCTAATGGCTTGGGAATCTGGGAAAGCAGGTATGTGGTGTTTTTAGTCTCCGATGTGGAGATGAGTAAAGAAGAAGGGGGCTGGGAATGGCTATTGGACTATCCACCAACAGGGTGTGTCACAAACTGGCTCAATTTTTTTCAGTCTTCCTTGGTTTATCACTTCCTGATGCCGTTCGGATGAATCCTCACTCTGGTCTTGTTGCTCCTCCTTTCATTTTGGCTGTAATCATTCTGCTGTTCAACCCATTTATGGATTGAGGCACTGGGGCAGGTAATGATCCACCAGGACCCTGGAAAGGGGGCGGGGGTGGGGGGGAGAAGGGAAGGGGCATTGGTGAGCACAGCTAAAAAGTCTCTCACATACCCAGCCCCTCCTCACTTCTTTTTCTTCGTCATTGTTGTTCTTAAATAGAGAATTTCAAGCAAACAGAAGTTGAGGGCAAGGATGCCCTTTCAATTCATGACCATCGTTTTCTTGTCTCCCCACCTGTCGTCAGTCACCTCTTTGCCCACTGGATTATGGGATTATTTTAAAACAAATCTCATTTTTAGTAACTTTCCTCTCTCTAAAGTCTGCTCTGCCTGAAGTTCACATAGTTACTCACACTTTCTTTTGATTAATATCAGCATGGTATATGTCTCTTTCCATCCATTTATTTTTCATCTGTATGTGTCTTTATATATAAAGTGGGTTTCTTTTTTTCTTTTTTTAGTAACAACACCTTTACTGTATTGTCCAGCCAAGAACACAAACACAACACTTTTTAAAAAATATATATTTTATTGATTTTTCACAGAGAGGAAGGGAGAAGGATAGAGAGTTAGAAACATCAATGAGAGCTCTAATTGGTTTGGCTCAGTGGATAGAGCATCGGCCTGCGGACTGAAAGGTCCCAGGTTCGATTCCAGTCAAGGGCATGTACCTTGGTTGTGGGCACATGCGCAGTAGGGGATGTGCAGGAGGCAGCTCATCAATGTTTCTCTCTCATCGATATTTCTAACTCTCTATCCCTCTCCTTTCCTCTCTGTAAAAAAATCAATAAAATATATTTTAAAAAAAAAGAAACATCAATGAGAGAGAAACACTGATCAGCTGCCTCCTGCACACCCCCTACTGGGGATGTGCCCGCAACCAAGGTACATGCCCTTGACTGGAATCGAACCCAGGACCCCTCAGTCCGCAGGCCGCCACTCTATCCACTGAGCCAAACCCGTTAGAGCAAACACAACACTTTTTAACTTAAGAAAAGCGCCAGGCAATTCCTAGTTCATTACAACTACTACCTACAGCAAAAATTTATATTTCTTTATTGATTACAGAGAGGAAGGGAGAGATAGAAACATCAATGATGAGAGAAAATCATTGATCGCTGTCTCCTGCATGTTCCCCACTGGGGATCAAGCCCACAACCTGGGTATCTCCCTGACCTGAAATCAAACTGTGACCTCCTGGTTCACAGGTCGATGCTCAACTACTGAGCTATGCTGGCCGGGCGTGACATTTTTTCTTTACATTTTATTTGTGTGTAGGTTATTGTAGGGGAGGAAAAATCTGTTTTCCTTCTACCCTTCTAGCTTCTATGCTGGGGCTGTAACAAAAGACAGATTAACAAGAGAAAAACACAAACAAGAGAAAAACAGTTCATTAACATCTATATCATATATGTGTGTGTGTGTGTGTGTGTGTGCGTGTGTGTGTGTATATGGCAAACTCAGAGATGAGTAATTCAAAAGGTGGCTAAAACTTGGATTTTATATACATCAACAAAGAACAATACATTTGTAGAAAAATGACAGGACAAAGGAAAATGGTTTTAGTCTTCTAAGGACTGGAAACTGAGAAGGTAAACGTATGAGGGGAACCCTAGCTGGTTAGGCTCAGTGGATAGAGCGTCAGTCTGTGGACTGAAGGGTCCTGGGTTTGATCCCAGTCGAGAGCACATGCCCGAGTTTCAGGCTTAATCCCCAGTAGGGGGCATGCAAGAGGCAGCCAATCAATGATTCTCATCATTGATGTTTCTATCTCTCTCTCCCTCTCCCTTCCTCTCTGAATTTAATTTAAAAAATATTTTTTTTCTCAGCCTTGCTGAAAAAAGGCCACCAAAAATTTGGTTGCCTCCCCCCAAAAAATTGGGAGAGAGAAAGATCAATAATATATATATATATATATATATATATATATATATATATATATATATACACACACACACACACACACACACACACATACACACACATACAGAGAGAGAGAGAGAGAGAGAGAGAGAATAACAGTATGAGGTAGATTCTTCTCCTGCCATCTATAATCCTGTCTCCAGTAAAGGAAATTTACATCCTGTCTTTAGGCAGAAAGTTTTGCCTGTACTTGCTGCTTAATTGCCTTCAATGCAAAATACACTTGTAATTCTTATATCAAAGAGGCATATTTGGGGGTGATGTGTTCTGATTTCCTTCATTATTTTTTTCCTGAACGAATTGAAAGTTGCAAACTTCATGACTTTTGTGCCAAAAATGTCTTTCAGCGTGCATCTCCAAGGAATAAGAACTTTCTCCCACAATTCACAGCATCAATTTTTTTAAACCATGATCTAAGCAAGATTCATGCTTTGCATTTGGTTGTTGTCTGTAGTCTCTTTTAATCTAGAGCAGTCTTTGTACTTTTGTTTTCTTTCTTTTTTTAGGGAGAGTGGGAACGCAGTCCCCCACTACCACAAATCACGCAGTGGAGTTCACCACATTCGGGGAAACTGCAGGGGTCAGCACATCCAGAGTGCAGTGGGAAAGCCTCACTCTGGGAAAACCACCTTTGTGATCGTGGTATCTCGCCTGCCAGGTAAGTATTCTTTTTTTCTCTTGCTAGGGATTTTGTGGAGACCAGGGCGGGTGTTTTGTAAAACACCCTGCATCCTAAATCTGCCCGATTATTCCCCATGGTGTTGTTCAATTTGTTCCTCCATCCCCTGTCTTTGTCGGCAGCAGGAAGTTAAATCTAAGGCTGGGCTAGATTTAGGTTATACATTTTTGGCATTATTATCTCCTGAATGATCCTGTGCACTCGGAGACAGATACTGGCAGCTTGCCCCGCTACAAGTGATGCTATGCTTGATCACTTGGTTACAGTGGTCACTGCCGCATTTTTTCAAAGGTATGCTTTCCCTTGGCAAATTGTTAATGGCAATAAAATGTGGAGCAGTACTCTGTCACCATGCACCATCCTATACTCAGTAACCTTTTACCTAGCATCCACTGAATCATGTTTTTCCATTGGGAATTGCAGTATAGTTTTGTTTTGTTTTTTTAATTTCAGTGGCTGTATTTTTTAAAGTTTTTCAGTTTGTTTGCTTGTTTGAAATATGTCTGTTCTTTTTTCACGTATTGCTCTATCCTTTCAGAACTTACTTTTTATACTTGCTATCTTTTTTTTATATTTTTATTGATTTCAGAGAGGAAGGAAGAGGGAGAGAGAGAGAGAGATATCAGTGATGAGAGAAAATCATTGATCGGCTGCCTCCTGCACGCGCCCCCACTGGGGATCAAGCCCGCAACCCAGGCATGTGCCCTTGACGAGAATCGAACCGGGACCCTTCAGTCCTCAGGCCTACACTCTATCCACCGAGCCAAACCGGCTAGGGCTACTTGCTGCCTTTTTTATCATTAAGCATACTGATTGTATATAGACTTTGTTCTTTTACCGGTGTGAGGAGGGAAGGGCTTTTTTCTCTCTGTCGTGGTGATGTGTCCATGGTAATATGGTATAGTTCCTGGCATAAGTGAGTGTCCCTAATCAAATGGCTTTGTTTTTGCTAAGATTTTAAGGGTCTCATTATTCTTAGACCATGGGCCTCTCTAGGGTCGACTCCCCTTGCTGCTCTGACTTCTCTGTTCTTTTTGGGACAGAGAAATCCCAAAAAGGAATTCTCAACTTTAGGAACTTTGAGTTTCCTGTGGACTTGACTGTTTTTGTTGGACCACTCAATATTAATTTGACTTCAAATTTCTATAATAGGAGGGTATGTGAATCAGAAACAAGTTCTGAGGACTGGAGCTTTATCTCTCATGCATGGCCAGCAATTCACCGGGACTTCCCAAGGTTGGGGAACTGGAAATAAGGCCCCCTACCTAAACCCATGTGCCCCAAGCACTCCACACTGGTCTTGGGAAGCAGCAGGGAAGTTTGCAACTACCTGGACCCACATGTAGAAAAGCAAAAAAGGTGAGGATAGATCTGAATTTACATCACCCTTCTAACTCAGGAGGTATAGAAAATAACATAATGAACACCCATGATTCATATAAAAAATAAAATTCTATATTGTTGAGTACTCCTCTCTAATCACATTGCTCTCTGCCAGAGGCAACTGCTCTCCTGAATCTTAGTGTTTAGCATTCCCAAGCATATTTTTATTTTATTTTTTTAATGTATATATTTTTTTATTGATTTCAGAGAGGAAGGGAGAGAGATAGAAACATCAGTGATGAGAGAGAACCATTGATCCACTGCCTCCTGCATGCCTCCCACTGGGGACGGAGCCTGCAACCCCAGCATGTGCCCTTGACTGGAACCGAACCCAGGATCCTTCAGTCCGCAGGCCGACGCTCTATCTACTGAGCCAAACCAGCTAGGGCTCCCAAGCATATTTTTGTTATTATTTATTACACTAGTGGCCCGGTGCATGGATTTGTGCACATTGAAAGGAATTGGGCTCCCTCCTCTCTGGTTCTGGGGTTCATCACCTGAGAACCACCACTGCCAAGTCAACACAACTTGGCAGCTCCTGTGTTGAGCGTTTGCCCCCTTGGTGGTCAGTGCTCATCATATGTACCGGCTGGTCGGAGAGTCACTTAGACTTTTATATATATAGACTAAAGGCCTGATACACGAAATTTGTGCAAGAATAGGCCTTCCTTCCCCTGGCTGCCGGCACTGGCTTCCCTCGGGCACCCGGGACCTGGGCTTCCCTCGCAGCACCAGCTTCATCTAGAAGGTCGTCTGGAAGGATGTACGGTCTACTTAGCATATTATGCTTCTATTATTATAGATATGTATGTATCCCTAAACAATATACCACTTCTCTCCCTAGGATGGCTCTCATCCTCAATACCTCATCAAGATTGTTCAAGGTCACCAATGACTTAGGTGCTAGCAACATTTTTTAAAGCATAGTTTTTTGTTTTTTGTTTTTAAATATATTTTATTAATTTTTTACAGAGAGGAAGGGAGAGGGATAGAGAGATAGAAACATCGATGGGAGAGAAACATCGATCGGCTGCCTCCTGCACACTCTCCACTGGGGATGTGCCCGCAACCAAGGTACATGCCCCTGACCGGAATCGAACCCGGGACCCCTGAGTCCGCAGGCCGACGCTCTATCCACTGAGCCAAACCGGCCAGGGCAGCATAGTTTGTTTTTAAGTTAATTTTTAAAAATTGATTTTTAGAGACAGAGGAAGGGAGAGGGAGAGAGAGAAACATCTGCTGCCTCCTGCAGGCCACCTACTGGGGATTGAGTCCTGACCGGGAATTGAACCAACAATCTTTTGGTGCACAGGATGATACCCCACCAACTCACCCACACCGGCCAGGGTAGTGCTAGCAGATTTAAAGAATACTTCTATGCTCTTCACCCTCTTTCCTGCTCTCCGGCAGCCGCAGCCATGAAGGTCGAGCTGTGCAGCTTCAGTGGGTACAAGATCTACCCCAGACACGGGCGGCACTATGCCAGGATCGACAGGAAGGTTTTCCAGTTCCTTAATGCAAAATGCGAGTCGGTATTCCTTTCCAAGAGGAACCCTCGGCAGATAAACTGGACTGTCCTCTACAGGAGAAAGCACAAAAAGGGACAGTCGGAAGAAATCCAAAAGAAAAGAACCCGCCGTGCAGTCAAAGTCCAGAGGGCCATCACTGGGGCATCTCTTGCTGATATAATGGCCAAGAGGAACCAGAAACCTGAAGTTAGGAAAGCTCAGCGAGAGCAAGCTATCAGGGCTGCCAAGGAAGCACAAAAGCTAAGCAAGCATCTAAAAAGACAGCAATGGCTGCTGCTAAGGCTCCCACAAAGGCAGCACCTGAGCAAAAGATTGTGAAGCCTGTGAAGGTTTCTGCTCCCCGTGTTGGTGGAAAACGCTAAGTTGGCAGATGAGATTCTTAAATAAAGACCTGACTATAACTAAAAATAAAAAAAAAAAATAAAAGAATACTTCTATGATCCTCGCCAGGTAGCTCAGTTGGTTAGCGTGTGGTGCCAGTAGACCAAGGTTGCAGGTCTGATCCCTAGTCAGGGCAGGTACATGGAGCAACCAATGAATGCATAAATAAATGAAACAAGTCGATATTTTTTTCTCTACAAATCAATAAAAAAAAATACTTCTGCCTTGGCCAGTGTTGCCTAGTGGTCAGATCACCAACTCTCACACCAAAGGGTCGCAGGCTCGATTCCCAGTCAAGGGCACATACCTGGTTGTGGGTTCACTCCCCAGACCTGGGGGGGGGGGGGGCAGTGTGCAGGATGCAACCAGTCGATGTTTCTCTCTCTCTTGCTCACCTTCCCTCCCTTCGACTCTGAAAAGCAATGGAAAAAATATATATCCTTGGGTGAGGATTAACAAAACTACACAAAATAGAACAAAAAACACTTATATGTCCTCATCTTTATTTTTTTATTTTTTAATATCTTTTTTATTGATTTCAGAGAGGAAAGGAGAGGGAAAGAGATAGAAACATCAGTGATGAGAGAGAATTGATTGGCAGCCTCCTACACGCCAGGGATCGAGCCCCCAACCCAGGCATGTGCCCTTGGCTGGAATGGAACCTGGGACCCTTCAGTCTGCAGGCCAACGCTCTATCCACTGAGCCAAACCAGCTAGGGCCTATGTCCTCATCTTATCTGCCCTCTGTGCAGCTCTCCAGTTACTTTTTCCTTCACTTCTTCCTAAGCTTCCACGCCCTGGTTTTCCTCATCCCTTCAAACCCTAATCTCACCTCCTTTGCTCCTCTTCCTCTGCCCTACCTCAGAGTGCTGGCATGCCCCATGGCTGTTATGGGTCCTCTCATCTCCAACTACACTCTCTCCCTAGGATATCTCCTCCAGTTCCCTCACTCCAAATGTCATAAAATGACTGCCAAACCTCTGTCTCTGGCCTTGATCTTTCCTTGAACTCCTAGCTTGTATATCCAACTGCTTATTTGGTATCTTTACTCTGAAGTCTTCTGGACATCTGACTAAACAACCAAAATGAAACGCCACCCCCAACCTGTTTCCTTCACAACCCCTAATTCACTCATCATCCACTCAGTGTCTCTAACAGAAACCAAGAGTCATCCATGATTACTCCTCCTCCTTCACCCCCACACCGAACCTGTCAACCTAATAATGAGGTAGAGTGAAGCAAACTCAGATGACCAGAAATGGGGTTTGTTTTTGGGAACAACAGAGGAATTGCAATTCTGGAAACCCATGCTGTAGCAAGCTACAGGCTAGTCTGTTGAGGGTTTGGGACAGGATGTATATATGGGCAAGCAGCACAGAGAGGGGGAAATTCAGCCAGAGTCCCAGCAGTCATTTCACTGACTTGAGGAAGAGGAGAGATTCCTAGTGGGTGTTCACTGTTCCGGAGAGAAGTCTCCATCTTCTGTAAAGCAGGCATTTATGGGAAATCAGTCTCTCCGTTCTCAAGTTCCTTTCCTCTGAGGGCACAGGTGAGATTCTCCATTTCACATCCTCTGGTTTCATTTTAGATTGAAATCCTTTCACAAACCGATCGGCAAAGATCCATTCACTCCACTTGCCAAACAAGATGCACCTGTAGTCCTTTCTCTTCGCTGCATCCCACTGTCACTCCCTAGGCTAGGCAGGCATCCTCTCTGGCCTGCTAATGCTCTCACCTCAAATCAGTTCTCCACACAGCAGCAAGTCTGATCCGCAAAACACCGAATGTAACTCACATCTTGTCACTCTGCTTAAACTTCAATGACTTCTCATTAGAATAAAAGCCAAAAATCTCTACTACAAGCTACCAGATGATAAATGACTTCACCTACTGCCGATCAGCCCACTGGTTTCTGGGTTCTTCCAAACCAAGGTTTTTCCTGCCTCAGAGCCTTTGCACACACCATTCTCAAGTCATCATCTGGAAGCTCTCCACCTCCGTGCCCTCCACTCTGATAAGGCCTGTTCCTCCTAGTTCTCTAGACGCAGGTTAAATATCACTTCAAAGATTTATTTTCTGGCCACTTCACCTAAAGCAGGTTCCTCTATTATTCTCTAGTCCAGCTCTGTTTCCCTCAGAGCACTTACCACAATCTGTAATTTGCTTGTTACTTCTTTTTGCCCCCTGTTCATATTAGAATGAGAGGCCTGGTGCACGGATTTGTGCACTGGTAGGGACCCTCTGTCTGGCCTGTGCCCTCTCACAATCCGGTACCCCTGGGGGATGTCAGAGAGCTGGTTTCAGCCTGATCCTCGCAGGCCAGGACGAGGGACCCCACTGGCCGAGTCCCATCCATGCACTGGGACTCTGGTATGCATATGAGATCTTTGGTTAATCTCTTCCCACCCTCCCCCTTTCCCTCTGAGATTCATCAGTCTGTTCATGTTCCCATGCCTGTGCTTTGAGCGTCTTCCCCCTGTTGGTCAGTGCACATCATAGCTACCCGTTAAATGGTCAAATGGTTGCTTAGGCATATAGATGTTAAGTCAAGGAGAGCAAGAACTGCTATCTCCAGAACAAACAAACAACAACAACAACAAAAGAACTACCTCTAGCACCTAGCACCATGCCTAGCACGTGGTAGACACATCATCTAGTGAATCTGTCTTCTACGCACTTCAAACATAAGTTCCTCCTTTAAACTCAGCAGTAACTCCCCGCGGGAGGAAACATGCTCCCCATGGTGCAAAGAAGGAAACCGAGTCAGGTTTCTAGCTTGTCTGCGTCACTGAGCTAGTAGCTGAAGGAGCCGGAGGCCTGCAGGTCCCCAGAGCCCTCGCTCAAACACCGCACCCGCCACGGAAGTTTCCAGTGTGGGGAACCCAGCGATCCAGGAGCCCTCGGACATAAAGGTAGAAAGGAGCAACAGCCGCCTGCAGGGTCCCGGAGTTCCCAGCAGGCCCTGCACTCCGACGTGCTGCCGGACAAGTGGGCGGTCCCAGGCGCCGGAAGACGGCCGGGGAACTACATTTCCCAAAAGGCTCCGCGGGGCGCGGCTGACTGGCGGAAGCGAGGCCGGCGACGGCGTGACGAAGCGCAGGGACGCTGGCGCGCGGGGTTTAAACTGCGGCGGTTTACGGGCGTTAGGACTTCGTCGAGTTAGGGGAGTTGGAGGTTCTTGGTGTTTTTTTTTTCCCGGCGCATCTGCCGACTGACTGCCCAATGGACTCGACGCTTCAGGCCCGCTTGTTTCCCGGTCTCGACATCAAGATCCAACGCAGTAATGGTGAGGGGCGGGGTCCCGAGGCCGGGGGGCCGTGGGCTCTGAGGCGGCTGAAATGACTGCCCCTCCCCAGACGGCAGGGCCCTGAGACACCGTTGGGGATGCCCCTCATCACAGGTCCGGGTCTGTGCACTGGCAACCCGCCTTCCCCACCCGGGCGGGGCCCTGCCTGGCGGTTGGCCCCCTCCGGTCCTCTGGGAGAGGCGGGGCTCCTCGGGGCCGGGGGACCTTCCGGGGAGTTAGCGGTGCTAGTCACTTCCTCTCCACAGTTCTCCGAGACTGCCTGGTCTTGCAGGGACCTCGGCTTCCTCGCCCGCTGCTCCCCTGTAAACACTGCGCACCTGCAGCGTGTGGGGCGCTGGGGCTCAGTGTAACCAGACAGATCCCTGCTCTTCAGGAGATTGTTCTGCTCTCTCTCTCTCTCCCATGCCCTTGTCATTAGGAGAACCGTCAGGATGAAGGTAGGGGGACCCGAGGGGCGCTGTGCTGAGGGACAGTTCACCCGAGGACTAGAGTGACTCCCCAAACAGACCTTCGCCCCACTCTGTAGGCTCTTTGGGGGTGGGGGTGCTGAATCCTTATCCCCGTCAGCTCGGTTTTAAGACTTGTTCTCTGCCCGCCTCACTATGGGATGTGCTAAGGGTGAAGTGCCAGGAATTTGGCTCCTGTGAAAAAGAAAGAAAGGCAGCTGTCCTTTCCTTCAGGTCAGCTCCACACTGAGAGTCTCTGTGGGATCTTTATCTTTTTAAACTATGTTTTTATTGGTTTTTGAGAGCTAGGAAGGGAGAGAGAGAGAGAGAAACGTGGATGAGAGAGAAACATCGATCAGCTGTCTCCTGCACGCCCCCCCTGGGGATTGAGCCCACAACCCGGGCATGTGCCCTGACGGGGATAGAACCCGGGACCTCCTGGTGCATGGATGGTGCTCCGCCGCTGAGCCACGCTGACCCGGCTCTGTGGGATCTTAAAGTGAAGAAGATGGGTAACTCTGGCCTTTTTCTGTTCTAGGCCTAATTCACAGTGCCAGTGTAAGGACTGTGGACTTGGAGAAAGCCTGTGTTTCAGTGGAATGGATAGAAGGAGGTGCCACAAAGGGCAAAGAGGTAGGTGCCACCTAAAGATGTGTGGAAATGGGACGGGTGAGAGCCTTTAAAACATTTTTTATTGATTGATTTTAGGGGGCGAGAGAGAGGGAAATAAGCGTCCATTTGTTGTTCCAGTTACTTGTACATTCATTGGTTGCTTTGTTTGTTTCTCTTTTATTTCGTTGCTTCTTGTATGGGCCCTGACTGGGGATCGGAACCATAACCTTGGCCGAGAGCCTGTTGTCTTGTTTTGTTTTCTAATATATTTTTAGAGAGGAAGGGAGAGAGAGAGAGATGAGAGGGAATCATCGATTGGCTGCCTCCTGCACACCCCACACGGGGCATGTTCCCTGACAAGGAATCGAACCTTGACCTCCTGGTTCACAGGTCAACACTCAACCACTGAGCCATGCTGGCCAGGCGAGAACCTGTTTTTCTTTTAACATATTTTTATTGATTTTAGAGAGAAAGGGAGAGGGAGAGAGAGAGAGACATCAATGATGAGAGAGAATCATTGATCGGCTGCCTCCTGCACCCCCCACCCTCCCACCCACCCCCACTGGGGGTTGAGCCTGCAAACCCGGCATGTGCCCTGACCTGGAATTGACCTGTTACCTCCTGGTTCCTGGTTCCTGGTTCACAGGTCATTGCTCAACCACTGAGCCACACCAGCCGGACTGAGAGCCTGGTTTTGATGCTGTGTTGTCCTTCCTGATCTCAAACATGATCCTCTTTGGATGCATTGGGATTTTATTTAGTAAGGCCTTTCTGAATTGCAGCAATCAACAATTTCTGGTGTTTGTAGAAAGCAAACTGTACAGAATCCTAAAACCATGCTCACCCAAGCTAGCTTCTGAATGCATATGTTTGTTTCTGAATGTATGTTTCTGAAACACCACATAACAAGGCAACTTGTGATAAATGGTGCAGGTGAATAGTGCTAGGGCAGCTCAGAGCTGGAACTCGTTGAGGATGAGCTGGGCTTGTGGGAGTGGCAGGAAGGCTTAGCAGATGGCTCTCATGGGGACTAATGAAGAAGCTGGCTGCAAGCAGTAGAAGGCTCAGGCTGCTGGGTCTTCATCTCTGGCATTAAGATGTTTGAGATTTTATTCTGTAGCCAGTGGGGTGCCTTGGAAGAATTTTGAGAAGAGGAGAGCTGTGACTAAGACATTTATGCTTTAGAGGCATTGAGGTGTGGAGAAGAGGTCACCAGGATAGGAGTATGAAAACCTGGGTTCTAGTCTGTTTTTGCCACTATTTTTTTTTTTTTTTTTTGTCCTTTGAGGCATTTTATTTCCACATAGGTATCACATCCCTAGAAAAAGAATCCCAGGATTTTCCCTCCTGTGTTTTCATCTTGCTTCTTCATGGTCCATGATGCCCGCTGAGGTTGTCAGTACAGTGAAACCAAACTGACGGGATGGAAACAAGTTGTTCTGCCATTTTTCTAGATCTTTGAGTTGCACATCACATCTGGGGCTGATTACTCCACACTTGTTCAACCTGCCTGTGAGGTTCACAACAATTTTCCCAGCTCTGTGGTCATCAATAATTTCAAATTCGCCAATGTAACCATGCTTCATCATCACAGTTAGAAACCGGACGATGACTTTGGAGCACAGCCTGATGAGAACCTGGCGCTTGCCTCTCTTTTTGGCATTGTTGATACTCTTCAGAGCATCAGCCAGGACATTCATGCGCACCATTATAGCGGCACGGACCGATGGCGGAAAGTTTGCCACTATTTTATATGTTCTCAGGCATGTTTCTGCCCCTTTTAGAAAAATTCAGTTTCCTCAGCTATGAGGATGATAATATCTACCTCATAGGGTTGGTGTGAGGATTTAGTCAACAAATCCTTTTGTGCAGGTTTCAAAGTGCCACACGAGAAAATACAATAAGAAAGACAGACACTGTGTTTGGTGCTGGTGATAGAGGTGTGGGTGAGACAGACCTCTTTCATGGAGCTTAATGAGATAATGTACAGGGCTCGCTTAGGGTAGCACCTTATGGTAGGTATGCAGATATTTATGTGCTATATTGGAGAAATAAACGAATCGAAAACTTACATTATCTGCCCTTGAATAAAGAAGTTTCTAAAAATGCTTTCAGCCAGCTGCTAGTTCTTTCTGATTTGTTTTGTTTTGGTTTGTTGTTGTTTGTTTAGAAATACAGCTCTTGTTGGGTCTCACTCCAGCTCATATATTGCCTGTAGAATAAGGTCCAAACTCTTGTGCGGCATTCCAAAGCTTTTCAAGATCTGATCCCAATCACCCTTTTTCTTTGTATCACACAGAATATCTTGTGCCAGGGGCAAGTGGGGCAGCTCCCCACTCTGACCATGCCTGGGGCCTTGCTGCCTTCACACTCATTCTTTCCTCCTGGGATGTTCACCCTTAATCATCAATGTGAAAATCAGTTAGTGTCAGAACTTCAGAACTAGGATTAGGGCTCTGGTTTCCCATGTTGTTAATGCTTTCTGGTGTTTAGGGATCGGAAAGGGGGGGTGGGGGGGTGTAGTAAGGGCCTGTAGCTGTCCAAAAAAAGTGGATAGAAATATGGTTCCTGAAGTATTTGCCAGCTTTTGCATTCAGTTGTTCTGTCTTCCTTGTCTATCCCATGCTGCTTTGGTTTCTCGCCCTTTGTATATGTGACTACTCTCCCCCACATTAGAATGTGAGCTCACTGAAGGCAAGGGCGATACATGTCGTTTTTTAAAAAAAATAATTCTTTATTGTTGAAAGTATTATCTATGTCCCCCTTCTTCCCCCATTCACCCACTCCAGCCCGCCTCCACCCCAGGACCTCAACGAAGGGCAGTATGTCTTAATTCATCTTTGAATATCTCTTTCTATTGCCTTACTTGTGCATAATACCTTTTTTGTTGTTGTTGTTAATCCTCACCTAAGAATTTTTCCCCATTGATTTTTATTAAGATGTTACATATGTGTTCTTATCCCCCCTTTGCCCCACCACACCCCTGCTCATGCCCTCACCCCCCTGGTGTCTGTGTCCATTGGTTATGCTTATATGCATGCATGTAAGTCCTTTGGTTGATCTCTCCCCCTTACCCCCACCCTTCCCTCCCTTCCCTCTGAGGTTTGACGATCTGATCAATGCTTCTCTGTCTCTGGATCTGTCCATTGATTTTTAGGGAGTGGAAGGAAGGGGGAGAGGCAGAGAGAAATATCGATGTGAGAGAGACATTGATTGGTTGCCTCCTACACAGGGCCAGGGATCGAGCCTGCAACCGTGGTACATGCCCTTGACTGGAATCAAACCCACAACCCTTCAGTCCCCAAGCCAATGCTCTAACCCAGGGGTGGGCAAACTTTTTGACTCGAGGGCCACAATGGGTTCTTAAACTGGACCGGAGGGCCGGAACAAAAGCATGGATGGAGTGTTTGTGTGAACTAATATAAATTCAAAGTAAACATCATTACATAAAAGGGTATGGTCTTTTTTTTTTTTTTTAGTTTTATTCATTTCAAAGGGGCCGGATCCGGCCCGCGTGCCGTAGTTTGCCCACGGCTGCTCTATCCACTGAGTCAAATCAGCTAGGGTGCATAATGAATTGTTTAATAAGCTAGTTAATAAGTAGGAGGTAAAGCTCTCACCTTAGTCCAGTGGTTTTCAATCTTCCTAATGCCGCGACCCTTTAATACAGTTCCTCATGTTGTGGTGACCCCCAATTTCATTGTTACAAATTGAACATAATTAAAGCATAGTGATTAATCACAAAAATAATATGTAATTATATATGTGTTTTCCAATGGTCTTAGGCGAACCTTGGGGAAAGGGTCGTTTGACCCCCAAAGGGGTCGCGACCCACAGGTTGAAAACCGCTGCCTTAGTGTGTTTGAGTTGTCCCTAGAGAGTTCCAGGACTCTGGTGATGTAAACCTAGAATTGTGACTGCACTGCAGGCATGAGCAGGCCGCTGTGACTGGGGAAGAAGTTTCTGGGCCTATTAGAAAATGTAGATAGATTAGGGTTAGGTAGCAGCTCTCTGGAACATGTCCCTGCCCATAAGATCCTGAAGGGCTCTTCCTTTTTACCTATCACTGGGACAGTTAGAACTTGTTTCCTCCTTCATGTCAGCCAGCAAGACGTGTTTCAGGCACTGAGCCCAGCAGGATCCCACTGCCCAGCAGGACAGTGGGGGAACCAGGTACCCCAAGTCTACCGTGGGCTACCTGTTTGCCTGTCTTCATCTCGTTCTCATCACTGACATCTACCATAGCTTGGAAATTGGAAACCAATATACATCCAGATGGTAAACCACAGCTAAGGAATAAATATTTGTTTATAGCTATTAGTACTTGGTGGAATTTAAAGTTGGTAAAATCTGAATCTTGGTTGCAGAGATGCAGTTGGATTGAAAAAGCTGTTATTTCATCGAAACTTTCATTTGCTCCTTGCAGATTGATTTTGATGATGTGGCTGCAATAAACCCAGAACTCTTACAGCCTCTTCCCTTACACCCGAAGGATAATCTGCCGCTGCAGGTGAATGTCATGGTAGGTGCCTGTCGTCTGGCTGCAGCCAGTGCCCCAGAGGATTCACTTGGCTTTTGGCTCTTTGCTGGATTGTTTTCTGAGACTGCCTAGGACTTCAGCACGGCACTTGGGCCCTTGAGAATTGAAAAGAGCCATATATGGTGGTGGTATGTTTTGTTTTTCAGAAACAAAAGCGCAGATCAGTCAACTCCAAAATTCCCGCTCCAAAGGAAGGTAAATGCATTTCTATTGGCTTATTGTCATGGGATTGTGCCCAGAATGATGTTCCTGGGGCTTAGGAACCTGTGAGGTTGACTCATTATTCCAGTTTAGCAGGTGATTTCTATGTGAGCTGAGTCCTGCCCCATCTTCCTCAGTGAGGAAGAATCCAACTTACAGGGAGGAGGAAATGGAGAGGTATTGGTCAAAGGGTACAAAGTTTCAGTTATGCAAAATAAGTTCTAGAGATCTAATGTGCAACAGAGCACCTATGATTAACAGTGTTGTCTATTTAAAATTTTACTGTAAGGGTAGGTCTTATACGGTGCTCTTACCACAAAAGGAAAAAATAACCATAACATAAGGACTGGGAGGAAACTTTTAGAGGTGATAGGTATGTTTATGGCATTGATTGTGATGATGGTTTCATGGTTGTATACTTATCTCCAAACTCATTAAGTTGAATAAGTTGAATACATTAAATATCTATAGCTTTTGTATGTCAATCATTCCTCAAGCCAGTTAAAAAAAATGAATCCAGCCATCCAACCTACAGCTCGTAGACCAACCTCTCAGGGACCTGGTGCATTTGGGAAATTTGCTGACTGGTCTAGAAGTCTTCGTTGTAGAATCCAGAGTGTTAATCAGCTTTGGTAGGCTTGTTTTCTTCCCTCAGGGGAACAGTGCGCCTTGGAGTGAGGTGGTGAACCAGCTGTCAGAGAAGCTAGGTCCAGGCCAGTTAGAAGTATAGTCCATGGAGCTATGGAGATCTGGGGGTGAGGTCGGACGAGTGGGATTTCAGCAGTGCCTTAAAAGGTTGGGCTTTCTCTGCAGAAGTCAGCCTAAACCTACTTTGACTACAATAGTCTATTGACCATAGTGGGTGGCTGTAGGCACAAACTGCCCAAGAAACCCAGCTTATTCGGAACCAGCTATATCTGCATGGGCTATCCCAGTCCAGAGAATGTCATTGCCCTGCATGATCTAGCTATCCCGGGAACCAAAGTAATTACATGGCCCAGGGTGAAAGATGTGAGCTTGGGTTGGGCATGAGTGGTGTGGTGCTGGCCCTCTCTTGCTGGCCTGCAGGAGAGATGAAAGTGGCCGCGGTCTCACTCCCGACCCCAAGAGATATTGCCACAGCTCCTTATAAATGGAAAAGAAAAATCTTAATAAAGGTGCATGTTATTGAACAGTAGAAATGAAGCAGAAGATTATAAATCTTTTGGGAAATAGGAAAATATTAATAATTTAGGCTCTTTATGAAAGACATGGATTATATCAGCAGTTCTCAACCTGTGAGTCACGACCCCTTTGGCAGTTGAACAACCCTTTCACAGGGGTCACCTAAGACCATCCTGCATATCAGATATTTACATTACAATTCATAACAGTAGCAACATTACAGTTATGGAGTAGCAACGAAAATAATTTTATGGTTGGGTCACAACATGAGGAACTGTATTTAAAGGGCCAGAAGGTTGAGAACCACTGGATTATATAGAGTCATCAGATCAACCTAAATTTAGGAGACTCAGAAATTCAGTACAAGTTGATGTTGGCCTATATGACACCACATGTTCTATTTCCAAATGTATGACTTATTTTATAGGTGAACTAGTGGCCCAGTGCACAGATTTGTGCACATTGAAAGGAAATTAAGAAGAAATATTTTAATATCGCTATTCGCCCTTTCTCTATAATAGAAGTGTCAGAGTTGAAAGAAAAGTAGTAAATTTTCTTTACTAATTACTAATTAGTAATGTATATAAAAATAATATATAAATTGATTAATAAATAAATAATAACAGCATGATATAACAACAAAAACATGATATAAAAACAACATTCATAAAAACAATGACTGATAAATTTGTTAAACTTATTCTAATATCTTCCTGTACACCATATTAAGAGTAAAAACACTTTCAGAGTGCTTGACTAATTTTCCCTTGTGATGGAGTATTTACAACTTAAACGTCACATGCTCTTCGACCTCAAGAGAAAGCAACATATAACTAACCATGTCCGAAATTGGGTTCAGGTAGGAATATTCCTACTCTGTCTAGAGTTTGTGCTTGTGATTTATTAATAGTCATCACAAATGCCGGCATCACGGGAAACTGTCTTCAAATTAATTTAAATGGGAGGCCAGTGTCAGACGGGGACAAATCAATTCTTGGAATCAGAACAACCTCTCCTTCTGCAGATCCTGTTAATACTTCAACTTTGATTATGTTAGGTCGCAATATTTTGATAATAAATCTAGTACCATTACAAAGACCCCATTTACCATTAAGATTTCTCAGTTCGTGGCCCTAACCGGTTTGGCTCAGTGGATAGAGTGTCGGCCTGCGAACTGAAAGATTTCTCAGTAGCATGATGATTGCACCTACTTTCAATTTTAACTTATGACACAGCATTCCCGAAGGAGTAATACTATTAAGAAATTCAATGGGAAAAATTTTCCTTTTCCGCATCATCTGTTGAATCGATGGAATCATCACTCAAATAGGTGTGAAAACCTCCATCCAGTGTATCCAAAATTCATTTAATTTATGAACGTTCTCATTTTTAGGACAAAGAATCACACATTTAGATATATTTTTAAAATTATCTACAGATATGCTATTTCCAAAGGTAGCTTCAATAATAGATCCATTACAAATCATGTCATGAGGGATTTCAATAATATCCATTTCTAGAGCTTTATATGTATCACACATGCGCAAGTCAATGTTTATTTTTAAATTGCCAGTGCGCATCATATGTACCAGCCAGTCAGTCAGACGTACAGACGTATGGTTGATCACTTAGTCTTTTCTATGTATGCTAAAGCCCAGTGCACGAAAATTGTGTGGGGAGAGGGGTCCCCTCAGCCCAGCCTGCACCCTTTCCTATCCGGGACCCCTCACAATCCTGGACCTCTGGCTTCTAATTGCTCACCTGCCTAGTCACCCTAACTGCCCCCTCCCTGCCGGCCTGGTCACCCCTTACTGCTCCCCACGCTGGCCTGGCGCTCCCAACTGCCCCCCTCTGCCGGCCTAGTCGCCCCCTAACTGCCCCCTCTGCTGGCCTGGTTGCCCCCAACTGCTCCCCTTGCTGGCCTAATCGTCCTCGACTGCCCCCCCGCCCCCCGCCAGCCTAGTCGCCTCTCACTGCCCACCTATCAGCCTAATTACCCCAACTGGCCCACCACCAGCCTAGTCCCTCATTGCCAACCCCCCCCCCCCCCCCCGCCGGCCTAGTCGCCCCCAACTGCCCCCCCACCCCTCCCGCCGGCCTAATTGCCCCACACAGCCTGCTGTTCAGTCGTTTGGTCATCCCTCACTAAACCCCCTGCTGGCCTGGTTGTAGGCAGCCATCTTGTGAGGGCATGAGGATAATTTGCATATTACCTTTTTATTATATAGGATAGGATAGATAGGATTGTTTCTCTCTTTTATAGGAAAACTATATTGATGGGTAGAAATGGACAAGAATTCAAATATAACTCATTTGTTTCTCTCAGTTAAGCATTCTTCCAGAAAATCAAGGTAGCTCATTCCCTGGGTTTCTGATGTGTGGCCCATGCTTGGCTCTGTAAAGCTTCCTGACGCTGTGGGAAAAGCCCAGACTTTGGAATCTGACAGTCCTGGCTCTGACTCTTACAATTAAAGGACAGTAGACAAGTTGCTTAATTTCTCTGAACTTTAACATTCCCATCCATCAGGTGGGAATACTGCTATTTCTGTTTTAAGGTATGGGAAGAACGTTGTAGAATGGTAGGTGCAAGATTAGGTCTGTCTCTCCAGAAATGACTTCATATTGGCTGTAGATCCCTCCATTTGCTCAAGACAGATTTTCTTGTGGGAGATATCCTTGTCCTTAGGAGCTCTCAGGTTTGCAGAATGTGAACAAATGAGTTTTGGGGTCATTAGTACTTAGCCTGTCTAATTTTTCCTTTCCTGGTGGTCAGGACCCATCTCACCCTCTATAGAATCTGGAGGGTTGCTCCACCAGCCCTCCTTATCATGCTACACTGATTGTCCCCGGTTCTTTAGGTCTCCGAAGCCGCTCCACTCGCATGTCCACCCTCTCAGAGGTTCACATCACCCCTAAGGAGGATGGTATGGAGGTGGACCTGCCCGTGCGTGCCAATTCCCGCAAGCAGTTCTTAGTTCCCAGTGAGTAATGAATCTGTTCTCCCTATTTGATGCCCTGGAGCAGCTCCTCCCACATTGCCTGAACCCGTTCTGGAATATCCTAAGATTCCTACACTCCCCTGACTTAGCACTTAGTATTGTTCTGCCCCCGCCCCACAGCTCCCTTATCTGGAAAATACCTTTTTCTCCCCCTTACTTGAAACATCATATACAGTATATACAGAAAAGTGAACATATCATTTAGTATATACAGTTCTTGAACACACACATATAACTAACACCCAGATCAAACAGAGCATTACCAGCACCCAGAAGTCCCCCTCAGGCACCCTTGCAGCTCCTAAGCCCCCAGTGAAACCTATACTCCTGACTACTTCTTTTTATTTATTTATTTATTTACTTACTTACTTACTTACTCTGGTTTAATGAAAATTTGATCCATTATCTTTTTCTTAATTAGAAATTATTTGCATCAAGGTTTTGTTACAGGGCATACAGGAACTAATGAGAATATTTTTTATAATACAGATCAGTTACTGTGTCCCCAGAAGGCCACAGAGCTCTGTAAAAGAGAAATAATTTTTTTTTGAGTTCTTTTTTTTTCTTTCTTTATTGATTAAGGTATTTTTTAATGTATTTTTATTGATTTCAGAGAGGAAGAAAGAGGGAGAGAGAGATAAAAACATCAATGATGAGAGAATCATTGATCGGCTGCCTCCTGCATGCCCCCCACTGGGGTTCTAGCCCCAAATGCAGGCATGTGCCTTTGACTGGAATTGAACCCAGGACCTTTCAGTATGCAGGCTGATGCTCTCTCCACAGGCCAATCTGACTAGGGCCTGACTTCATTTTTTTAAGATTTTTTTAATTGATTTTTAGAGAGCGAGGTAGAAACATTGATGTAAGAGTGAAACATCGACCAGTTATCTCCTGCAAGCCCCTTACCAGGGATTGAGCCCGAAACCTGGGCATGTGCCCTGACCTGGAATCAAATCATCAACCTTTTGGAGCATGGGACGATGCCCAGCCAACTGAGCCACACTGCCAGGGCTAATCCTGAATTCTAATAGCATAAATTAGCTTTTTCTCTTTTTGAATTTTATACATATGGAATTTTAAAACTGTCTTTAAAAAACATATTTTTATTGATTTCAGAGAGAAAGGGAGAGAGAGATAGAAACATCAATGATGAGAGAGAATCATTGATCGGCTGCCTCCTGCACGCCCCACACTGGGGATCAAGCCCACAACCCAGGCATGTGCCCTAACCGGGAATTGAACCAAGGCCTCCTGGTTCATAGGTCAACGCTCAACCACTGAGCCATGCCGGCCAGGCAATTGTCAACTTTTATTAGACACATAAAGTAGATGAAGATTTTGTAAGATACACAACCATTACATCTTACATGTATCAAATTTAGCTCTTATAAAATGAAGGTAAAGGATCATGACCAAGTATGGGAAGTAATGAGTTGTCATGGGTTGTACCTTTCAGGGTTGAATCAGTATGGTTAGTTTTGCTCATGTTTCCATTATTTCTGGCTTTTCAGTCTTTGTTCCTGTTAACCACCTGAGTTCTAAGGATTTTTTGTTTTGTTTTGTTTTTGTGTGTTCCAAGGCTTTATATATATATATATATATTGTATTGATTTTTTACAGAGAAGAAGGGAGAGGGATAGAGAGTTAGAAACATCGATGAAAGAGAAACATTGATCAGCTGCCTCCTGCACATCCCCTATTGGGGATGTGCCCGAAACCAAGGTACATGCCCTTGACTGGAATCGAATCCGGTTAAGGCATGTGTTCCAAGGCTTTTGAAAGTGAGAAAGGCCTGGCTTTTCTCCCAGTGAGTAGAAAGGCCTGGCCCAAGAACCCATGCTTGGGTCAAGCCTAAGGAATTCAGGCCTTAAAAGGCTTTTCCCTTCATGGTGAAGCCCATACTGAGTTACTCACCCTTTTTATTTTTAATCCTCTCCCGAGGATATTTTTTCCCATTGATCTTTGTGTGTGTGTGTGTGTGTGTGTGTGTGTGTGTGTGTGTGTGTTTTGTGAGGCTGTTTTTTCCATTGATTTTTTTAGAGAGAGTGGAAGGGAGAGAGAAACATGTATGTGAAAGACATATCGATTGGTTGCCTCGTACATGCACCCTGACCAGGGCCTGGGATGGAACCTATAACCAGGGTCTGTGCTTTTGACCAGGAATCGAACCTGCATCCCTTTGGTCCATAGGCCAATGCTCTAACCACGAGCAAAACTGGCCTGGGCAGGGAACTCAAGATTTCTTGACCCAGGAGCCAGCCCCTGCAGAGATACTGGTCCGGTTCAGGGTGTGGGCTGAGGTGAAGGCAAAAACCCAAGTTCTGCTCACACTGTAGGAGCCTGAGCCCTTGCTGAGCTGGCAGTCAGTAGCCATCCTGGTCCATGAGCCATGAGGGCTCGGCTGAGTACAGCTGCATTGCCAGCTTCGCCAGTGACTCTTGTTTCCTCACAGCTGGCCCCCCTAGGAACTCCTGCCCTGCAGTGGCTGAAATACCATTTACGATGGTCAGCGAGGAGGTAGAAGAGCAAGTCCGTTCCATGCGAGGCAGCTCTTCTGCAAACCCGGTGAACTCAGGTAGACATGCTGAGCTGTCTGCTGCCCTACTCCTAGTGCAGGGCAGCGTCATTCTGTTTCACACCTGGTCTGCCGTGGCACCTGAGTTCAAACTGCACTTGTTACTTGGGGGCATGTTTCCCTGTGGCCATGGAATCAATTTTGCACAAGGGTGACCCTGTCCCCTTAAGCTGGCAGAAACCTTCTAATGTAATTGAAGTGTTGTCACAAACTATAGTGTCTTGGCTGACACCTGAAGAACAGCCTAGACCAGCGGTTCTCAACCTGTGGGTCACGACCCCTTTGGCGATCGAACGACTCTTTCACAGGGGTCGCCTAAGACCATCCTGCATATCGGATATTTACATTACAATTCATAACAGTAGCAACATTACAGTTATGAAGTAGCAATGAAAATAATTTTATGGTTGGGGTCAAAACATGAGGAACTGTATTTAAAGGGCCAGAAGGTTGAGAACCACTGGCCTAGAGTAACCATTAAGACTAAATAGTGGTGGTCTCACCTCTCTGGTGGTTGAGAAAATGCCACCGAGGTATGGGGAGAGTTTGGGTTAGACCTGGAGTACTCACATGGGCAGATCTTTACTTTGTGAGTTTGACCATCCCAAGAGTCACATCTACTGCTTCCTCTCCTTGCATATGGTAATTTAAGTCTAAAGGTCGAGAAGGTCTAGTCCTAGGAAAGCCCAGGACTCAGTACAGCAGCTGGAGAAGAATAGGCTCGCTGGCCTAGACAAGTAAAAGAATGAGCTTTTCTTCCCCTAGTTCGGAGGAAATCATGTATTGTGAAGGAAATGGAAAAAATGAAGAACAAACGAGAAGAGAAGAGGGCCCAGATCTCTGAAATGAGAACAAAGCGAGCTCAGGTATCTTTCTTGGGAAGCTGGGGCATGGGTTTTTTGACAGGTATCCTTAACTGCAGCGTTAACGGCAACACAGATACAGTTGGGCCCAGCATTACTGAGACTCCAGTTCTGATATCCAGGAAGTTTAACTGGTGTCTCATCAGGATTCAGAGAACAAATAAGTCAGATATTCTTCTGAGGGCCTTCACATGGGGACTATTTCATGCCTACTGTTCAGTGGGCACGCCTGTCAGAGAGCACCGTTGCCTGTTTCCCCCAACCTCCTAGTTGTGTGTATGTGGTGGAGGTGCTGCAATGCAGTTCTAGTTTGGAGCATTTCCCCTTAGTTGCTCTGGGGAATCCCAGCCTTCTGTCTCCTAAGTGGCCCTCACCCTAGTTCCTAGAGTGGTTTGGTGCATGCCTAGGCCCCCCTGCCAGTCTCTATTCCCAGGGCTTTGTTCCTGGGTTCTCAGCCTAGAGTCAGGGTGGGAGGAAGTGAGATCATGTGGGGGTTTTGTCAACTCTGATGGACCAATTGCACAAGGAGAGATGGTGCTTTTTCTTAGTACTGAAGTCGAGGCGCACTTACATCTCAGCAGTCAGTTTCTTTTTGCTCTTGTCCCAAACAGGAGTATGACAACAGCTTTCCAAACTGGGAATTTTCCCGGATGATTAAGGAATTTCGGGCTACGTTGGATTGTCATCCCCTTACTATGACTGATCCTGTAAGTAAACCCAAAGGGCTTCTACCTCTCCTTCCTGAGTAGGTTTACAATTAAGAGACAGAAAACTGTAAAGGAGAGCATCGAGCAGTCTTCCCTTGCCGTTGCAGGTATTCTTAAGATCCTTTGGTGAGTGGAGTTAGTGAGACCTAGATGAGAGTCTGATTTTTATAAACTTCCCTCTACCCCACCTTATCTTCTATGCTCTTGAGTAACTATGGGGAGGCAGGGTCCTAGTGTTAGATCTTGGCTCCTGGCTGGGCCAGACCTGGGCTGGAGGGGAGGGCTCTGGAGAAGCGTTCTTTAATACTGCCCTAACCTTCTGTTGGTTGGTTGTCTTCTCTCATCCTCTTGAAGATAGAAGAGCACAGGATATGCGTTTGTGTTAGGAAGCGCCCGCTGAATAAACAAGGTAAACTCCGGTCAGAAAGGGGCTTTGGAGTAATAGAGGGTGCCTGTGTCCAGGGAGCATCCCCTGAAAATACTCTCCTTCTGCAGAACTGGCCAAGAAAGAAATTGATGTGATTTCTGTTCCTAGCAAGTGTCTCCTCTTCGTACACGAGCCCAAGTTAAAAGTGGACTTAACAAAGTATCTGGAGAACCAGGCGTTCTGCTTTGACTTTGCATTTGATGAAACAGCTTCAAATGAAGTCATCTATAGGTTAGTCCCTCGCCTCTTCTCACCACCCCCCCACCTCCCCTCACCCTGTTTGATCTTTTCCATGCAAGGCTCTGTGCTAACACTGCTCACAGACATGCTGGACTCTGAAGCCCTTCCTGGCCTCCTCTCGTGTTTCTTTTTTACTTTATTTTTAATGTACTTTTATTGATTTCAGAAAGGAAGGGAGAGGGAGAGAGAGATAGAAACATCAATGATGAGAGAATCATTGGTCGGCTGCCTCCTGTACTCCCCACACTGGGATCGAGCGAGCCCGCAACCCAGGCATGTGCCCTGACCGGGAATTGAACTGTGACCTCCTGGTTTATAGGTCAGTGCTCAACCACTGAGCCTCGCCTGCTGGGCACCAAGGATATTTTTATGAGGGCAGAATTGGGGGGATGAGAGGACATTGGGGGGATAAGGACACATTTGTAATATCTTAATAAAGGGAAAAAATAATATTCATAGAATCTGAAAAAGAAAAAAAAAAGATGGGAGACACAGAGCACATTTGCATGTTAATGGAGATGATGCACCAGAAGAAAAGGGAGTGGGGACTGCGGGAGAGAAGTCTGAGGGAAGGTGCCTCAGAGAACAAGCAGAAGGCGAATGGGTGGCCTGTGATGGAACAGGGACACTCCATTGTAATGGGAAAGAGCAGAGGATGTGGGTCAGGCAGGTTGGCAGATTTGGAGGTGGGAAGGTGGGGTTTTCAACAAAAAGAGGTGAGGCCATGTTTTCTTTGGATCAGCTCACATAGAGCTGGCTCTGGCTCTGGCTCTGGCTCTGGTTCTAATTCTGGTTCTGGTTCCTGGGCTGCCATATGCCATTTTGCAGCATTAGCAGTGGATCAGAAGTGAGGTGTTACCCATTGCATTCTCTGAGGCTGGGCTGGCTTCAGGGATTCTTCCAGTATCTTATGCAGCCACCCTGTTACCGACTGGGCTTTGCAGACTCAGCAAACTCTAGGACTGCTCTGTCTAATAAAGCACCCACAGCCTCATATAGCTGTTCATTAAAAGTTAAATGAAATTAAAAATTAAGTTATTCAGTCACATAAGCCACATTTCAGGTGCCTCACCAGTCCCATGTGGAAGTGGCTACTACTGGACAGCACAGATACAGAACATTTCCATCAGCACAGAAGTTCTATTGGACAACACTGCTCCAAACTAGAAGTTGACAAACTTGGGCCAAATTGGGTTCACAGTCCCTTTTTATATGGCTCTAAAACCAAGAATGTTTTTTATGTTTTTAAAGATTGTTGTTTTTTAATGTGACATATCTACATGGCCCACAAAGACTACAACATTTTGGGCTCCTACTTTAGAGGGTTTCCTTTGATCTTTGTAGTGTATCTTATGCTGGATGTCAGCTGCTGAGTTCAGGCTTTTGTCTATGTCTTCAGAGTCAGGAGCGGCTGGTGGCTCAGTTAGAGGATGGGCCATCCACTTGCTCGTAGCAAGTCAGTCCAGCCCCCACCTCCCTCCAGCCGGCTAGGAGAATTTCAGATTTGTGAGTGGGCTGAGTCAGGTGGGACCCCATTGCAGGAGAGGAGTACTAGTGCTTGGAAGGAGGAATGGAGGGCCCAGAGGTTCTGCAGTGGAAGGGCAGCAGGACCATGTTCCAGGGTACACACTTTGGTCAGAGATAATACACTCTTCCCTATCCTTTCTCCTAGGTTCACAGCAAGGCCACTGGTACACACAATTTTCCAAGGCGGAAAAGCGACCTGTTTTGCATATGGCCAGACGGGAAGTGGCAAGACACATGTGAGTATTCAAGCATGGCAGGGTATGAGTGTGCCCATGAGCTGCACTGGTTCCCTAATAAGGAAGACAGTGAGTTTCGTGTAGAAAATCCACTCAGTGTAGGTGCTCCATCATCAGATAACGCTTGTTGTGTCAGGTGCAGAGAGGTGCCTTAACAGGTCCAGCCTCCCAACTTTGGTGTGGCCCACTGGGGTGATGGAGCCGGTAGTGCTCTATACTCGGCCAGGGGCCCTTTACCAAGTCTTCTGTCCCTTCCTTTTGCAGACTATGGGCGGAGGCCTCTCTGGGAAAGCCCAGAATGCATCCAAAGGAATCTATGCGATGGCCTGTGAGTAGTGTCTTCTGCCGCCGTGGGGCTGGGCACAGAAAGCAGGTTGCTTACTTAATCCATGCTCTTTCCCATAGCCCAGGATGTCTTCCTCATGAAGAATCAGCCCCGCTACCGGAACCTGGGCCTGGAAGTCTATGTGACGTTCTTTGAGATCTATAATGGGAAGGTAGCTGACAAGGAGACCCTGTTTATACTGTTGGGGGCCCTGAACTCTCAAAAACCTGTGGTTGGCTAGAAATGGTAGAAGCCAAACAATCTATGGACTGTGAAGCTCTGCCCTGACATATGGGGGGTTTCTTCTGATGATGGGATGGTTCTCAAGAATCAACAAGTGCCCTAGCTGGTTTGGCTCAATGGGTCAGAGTGTTGGCCTGCGGACTGAGGGGTCCTGGGTTCGATTCTGGTCAAGGGCACATGGCTGGGTTGCGGGCTCGATCCCCAGTGTGGGGCGTACAGGAGGCAGCTGATCAATGATTCTCTCTCATCATTTCATCATTGATGCTTCTATCTCCTCCCTTCCTCTCTGAAATATTAAAAAAAAAAAAAGCTGTAATCGGGCTTTAAAAAAAAAAAGAGTCAACAAGTATGGCAGGAATACTCCGCAGGGTTCCTCTCAGATGGGAGGTCTGCCTTGAGTGTGCCCTGTGCACCCTCGATCCACCTCCTTCATAACTCTTTTTCCTTTGATCACCCATATTTGTTCTCATATTCATCCTCTCTTCCTCCCAACCCCCATCTCTCTGTGTATACATGAATAAACACTCACACATACAACTCTCTTCATTTTTGCAGAGTTGCTTTCCTTAGAGCAGGATCTAGATGATAATGGCTATGTTGATTTTTTTAATAATTAAAAATTATTCGTTGATTTTAGAGGGAGAGAGAGAAACATCAGTTTGTTGTTCCACTTATTTATGCATTCATTTGGTTGATTCTTTTTTTAAAATATGTTTTTATTTCAGATAGAGGAAGGGAAAGGGAGAGAGACATAGAGATATCAGTGATGAGAGAGAATCATTGATTGGCTGCCTCCTGCACGCCCCCTACTGGGGATCGATCTGCAACCCAGGCATGTGCCCTGACCTGGAATCGGAACTGTTACCTCCTGGTTCCCGGGTCAATGCTTAAATACTAAGCCACACCGGCTGGGCAATTCTTTCTTTTTTTTTATAATCCTCCCACCCAAGGATATGTCCCCAATGATTTTAGAGAAAGAGGAAGGCGGGAGAGAGAGAGAGAGAGAAATATCGATGTGAGAAACATCGATCAGTTGCCTCCCGCACACATCCCTACTAGAGAGCGAACCTGCAACCTGGGTATGTTCCCAACCAGGGATCGAACCTGAAACCCTGCGGTGCATGGGACAACACTCCCACCAACTGAGCCACACCAGCCAGGGCAGGGGGATTCTTGTATGTCTCTCTTTGGTAGATCTGGCAGGGATTGAGCCTGCAACCTTGCCGTGTAGAGACGAGACTAACCAACTGAGTTACTGGCCAGGCAGGGCTGCTAATGTTGATTATTAATATGACATTATGTTCTAAGCACTTTGTTTTAATTCACTTATTAATCACAAAAACCCTACAAGGACGTGTTACCATCACTGTTGTGTAGGTGGCTAAGTACTGACCCAGTTCACACAGCTAGTGAAGTATTAGAATCACATCAAGCTGAGGCAGCCCAGTTCAGAACCCACACCCTCTGCTAGTCTGCCCAGCTCAAGTTCTGTCTTCCCTTCCTGCTGCCTGCCCTTGTCTAAGCTGGGATAGGCCCTGAAGGAGGGAGGCGTCAGGTGGGGTGCCTCGTGCCTAATGGCCTTAGCCTTGTTCCCCTGCCCGACACAGCTGTTCGATTTGCTGAACAAGAAGGCCAAGCTGCGCGTGCTGGAGGATGGAAAGCAGCAGGTGCAGGTGGTGGGGCTGCAGGAGCACCTGGTTAACTGTGCTGACGATGTCATCAAGATGATCGACATAGGCAGTGCCTGCAGGTCAGAATTCTAGTGAGGGGAAGGGGCTACTTTCTAATGCCCAGTTCAGGTGACAGACTAGCTCTGATCCCATCTGGTTCCACAGCGTCCCGCTCTCCCTGAAGGCCCCTGCGGTAAGAGGTCTCTAACAGGCTCATCAGGAGCAACTCAAAGTGTCTTAAACCTAACCAGGGCAGGCTTCCTTTCTTGTCTGGGTTTCTCTTCACTGATCCCTCCCTCTGTGATGGGAGACAGGAGCTCTGGGCCTGTCCTAGGCTGAAAGTGCTGGAGCCATCGCTCCTGTGGGGAAGTGCTCTTCCAGGCCCTAGGCTGGTATATTGGAGACTCAGGGAATGAGCTGCCCTCTAGCTGCAGGGCCCTCACGTTTTGGCAAGTGGTTCATGACAACCCTCCTTCCCTGTGTGCCCTGCAACAGAGATAGCTTATCTTTCTCTGTGTCCTTATGGGCCCCCCGGTCTGGCCATGCGCCTAGCATAGAATCCAATACTGTGGCTGCCAGGAAAACTTACCAGCTCCTCTGCTGGAGGGAGAGCTTCTGCCCAGGGAAGGCAGAACAGAAATCTGGGATGAAGACATAGGACTTCTTACAGTCCTGACCTGTGTCCCTCTCTTACCAGAGAATTCACTGCTGTGGAAGGGGGTGGCTGGTGACTTCAGAAGCTCATAGCCTTTCTTTGCCTCCTTTACCATAGGACCTCTGGGCAGACATTTGCCAACTCCAACTCTTCCCGCTCTCATGCCTGCTTCCAGATTCTCCTTAAAGCCAAAGGGAGAGTGCATGGCAAGTTCTCTTTGGTGGATCTGGCAGGGAACGAACGAGGTGCAGACACTTCCAGTGCTGACCGTCAGACCCGCATGGAAGGCGCAGAAATCAACAAAAGCCTTCTGGCTCTGAAGGTAATAGGGGCTAGGTAGAGGTGGGACTGCTGGTGGGGCAGGAAGTGGGCAGCGGAGATTAAGGAAAGGGCCTCAGTTGCACTTGGTGCCCCACAGGAGTGCATCAGGGCCCTGGGACAGAACAAGGCTCACACCCCTTTCCGCGAGAGCAAGCTGACACAGGTGCTACGGGACTCCTTCATCGGGGAGAACTCAAGGACCTGTATGGTGAGTAGGGGCGCTGTGGAGGTGGTGCAGGACATCATCTAGGCCTATCCTGGGCAGGAGGCCCGTGCCCTGGGCTGTCTGGGTTTCCAGACTCTAACTTAACTGAGCTTCATCCCTGCCTTTTCGTTCTAGACTCCTCTGTGCCTACCCAGGGGAGGAAAGGAGGCACTCCGTATATCCCCGCAGCTCTGGGTTTGGGGGAGGTCATTCCTCCCTTACCCGGTGGAAAGGAGGCTCTAGAATCCAGAAGGAGGACCTTTGGGGAAGCAGGAGCGAGGCATCCTGGCTTCTGTGACCTCCCTCGTATTCCTTGGCTTCCAGCCTCGAATATGGGAAGGGCTATGGCCTTGAATGGCTTTTCATCCCTTCCTTATTTTACCCACAAGCCCTTCTAGCTAGGGTCTGCTCCCCTCCATGAACATCCTCTCCCATGTCTGCAGGGAAGATGGGGATTTCAGATTAAGCTCTAACGCCTTCTCCCTGAGGCACTCCTGAGCCTGGATGAAGTGAGGGCTCCGGTAGGAGCCACAGAGCCTTCAGGTGTGACCTCAGTGTGAGGAATGGGTCAGTGAAGAGATAAAGAAGGAGGGGGTCACAAGATGTGCCTTTAAAGGCACGGAACCAACTGCCGGGGTCCAACCCCAGCAGGTCCAGGGGTTCCCAAAGGCGTAGACGGAGTCGGCGAAAAAGGAAGGACACGGAGACAGTGTTCAGTTGATCAGCAGCCTAGCCAGGATCTCCAGCCAAGTTCTGGTTAGGATCTCCAGCCAGGTTCTGTGTCCATGTTCTCTTGCTAGGTTCTCCAGGTTCTCCAGTCAGGTTCTGTAGCCATGTTCCCTCGCTAGGTTCTCCAGCCAGGTTCAGTCACCAGGTTCTAGTCAGGTTCTCTTGCCAATTTCTGTAGTCAGGTTCAGTCCAGGATCTTTTGCCATGTTCTCTCCAGCGAAGTTCTTCTGTCTCTAGGGAACGTTCTGTGTAGGTTCTGTGCCTAGGTTCTGTGTCTCTTGGTTCTGTCTTCTAAGTTCTGTCTCTCACTGTCTTGTTATATCTGTATTTATACCAGTTGATTCAATCCTATCAATCTCTATTACAAAGGTTAGGGCGTTTCTTATCTCCATTCCAGGGAGTAAAGATTATGTAGCTTAAGCATGATTGTTCGTAGTTAAAGTGATTAATTACCCGCCTGGCACTTAGTTGAGGGGTTTTATTCCCTCCCTAACTTCAGGGGAAAATCCCTACCTGGGGAAACAACCTTTCTCAGAGACCTTGGTTAAAACACATAGTGCCAAGAAGGTGAGCAAACATATTAAGAACAGTATGCCATATATGCCAGGTCCCTTGAAACAGCAAGCATGGACCGGCTCCCGGCAACCAACTTTTTTTTTTTTAATATATTTTATTGATTTTTTACAGAGAGGAAGGGAGAGAGATAGAGAGTTAGAAACATCGATGAGAGAGAAACATCGATCAGCTGCCTCCTGCACATCTCCTACTGGGGATATGCCCACAACCCAGGTACATGCCCTTGACTGGAATCGAACCTGGGACCTTTTAGTCCGCAGGCCGACGCTCTATCCACTGAGCCAAACCGGTTTCGGCACGGAACCAACTTTTTAAGGAGCTTTAATTTGCAGTGGAGCCAGTTGCCTGGTGAATAGGTGCTTAATGAGCTCTCCCCCAGTACCATGAGGGTCCAGTAGTTTGGAGAAACTCCTCCTGGCAGCCTCTCCCCATGATCCTCGACCTCTCTCCCATACCCGATGATCCTCAACCTTTAACCATCCATTCCTTCTTTTGCAGATTGCCATGATCTCACCAGGCATAAGCTCCTGTGAATATACTTTAAATACACTAAGATACGCAGACAGGTACCAGTACCTATGGCCCTGTGGGATGGGAGCAGGATGTGGGAGAGGAGAAGGGAATGGCAGTGATGGAAGAGGGAGGAGGCTCTGGGACTCAGTGCTTACTGTTTACTCTTCCATGATTCAGAGAACCTGAGGTTCGGGAATTCTGACAGGATGCTAGAAGGTCTGTCCCAATCCCCTCCAGGCCTTGTAGGGAGTCAGCATGCATGAGGGTCTTTTCCTAGGCCAGAGGCAAAGCTGCTGCTCCATCCCCTTAAAGCCTCAAGGCTGGCTCTGACCAGTTTGGCTCAGTGGATAGAGCGTCGGCCTGTGGACTGAAGGGTCCCAGGTTCGATTCCAGTCAAGGGCATGTACCTTGGTTGCGGGCACATCCCCTGTGGGGAGTATGCAGGAGGCAGCTGATCAGTGTTTCTCTCTCATTGATGTTTCTTAACTCTCTATCCCTCTCCCTTCCTCTCTGTAAAAAATGAATAAAATATACTTTAAAAAAAAAAAGCCTCAAGGCTGGTGGTCTTAAGTGGTACAGCACTCTTGTGAGTGCCAACAAGGTTGCTATGGGATCAGAAACCTTCTTGTTTCCTCAGGGTCAAGGAGCTGAGCCCCCACAGCGGGCCCAGTGGGGAGCAGCCAATTCAAATGGAAACAGAAGAGACAGAAGCCAGCTCTCAGGAGTCTCTGATCACAAGCAACGTAAGGGGCAGGGTGGGGCCTAGCAAGACAGAAACATGGCCTGCTGAGATGGGAACTGGGCCATACTCTTGCGTGTCTCCTTTTAGCTTTCCAAGGAAGAAGAGGAACTGTCTTCCCAGATGTCCAGCTTTAATGAAGCCATGACTCAGATCAGGGAGCTGGAGGAGAGGGCCATTGAAGAGCTCAAGGAGATCGTCCAGGTGGGCAGCTGGCGCTGGCATATCAACCCCAGCACAGGCCCGCCGCTGTGCTCAGCACCATTGCCTGAGTGTGACCTGGGCTTTGCTTCCACAGGTCTTCAGGTTGGCATGGCAAGAGGCAGCCCTCCACCCTAGCATTCCTTAATTCTTTACCTATTCACTCATCCATTCTTCTAGGTCAGCTAATACCACACCCTCTTCCTTAGCCTGGCACACAAGCTTTCCTCCATCCTAGCCGGAGCTAGTCTCTCTCCACCATGCTCCTAATTGGGGGTTTTGGAGGGAAATTAATATGCAGGGACCTTGTTATTCAGTGAATGTTCGGTGAGTACTTTCTGTATGCCAGCTCCTGTACTGCGACCAAGGATCAAAAACATAAAGTATGGATAGTAGGCCCTGAAGCAAGACTTGTTCAGCCCTGATTATTTTATTTATAAGTGATTTCCTTGTGAAAGTCATTTAGCCTCAGTTTCTTCATCCTTAAGATGGCTAAGACAGGATGGTTTTGTCTGAGGGTTAAATGATGTGCATTTATTTATTTTTAATCCTCACCCAAGGATATTTTTCATTGACTTTTAGAGAGCGGGGGAGAGACAGAGAGAAAGAAACATCGATGTGAGAGAGAGATATCCATTGGTTCCTCCCACCTGTGCCCCAAACCAGGGTTGGGGATCTGGGGATTGAGCCTGCAACAGAGGTACCTGCTCTTGACTGGAATCGAACCAGGGACCCTTTAGTCTGCGGGTCGGCGCTGTATTCACTGAGCCAAATTTGCTAATGTGCTTTTAAAGTGCTCAGCAGCCTGGCTGGCATGGCTCAGTGGTTGAGTGTCGACCTATGAACCAGGAAGTCACAGTTCAATTCCTGGTCAGGGCACATGCTGGGTTGTAGCCTTGATCTCCAATAGGGGGCGTGCAGGAGACAGCCAATCAATGATTCTCATCACTGATGTTTCTATCTCTCTCTCTCTCTCTTCCTCTCTGAAATCAAAAATATATTTTAAAAAAAGGAAGCACTCAGCAGTGCCCAGCATGTGGTCAGTGTTTAGTGAGTGACAGGTACTAGCACTGCCATGACGCCCACTGAGGAAGAGCGGGTGGAGGGGAGAGGCCCGAAAGTGCACCGTAACGGGGCCCTTGGTGCAGAGCAGGAAGGAAGAGCTTGAGGCCCTTGGAAGGGAAGAGGGAACGTGAAAGATCATTGCTTAGGCATGGCCTCCCTCCCTCGAGTACTCAGGGGTACAAATGTTTAAAAGGACATGGGCCCTAACCGGTTTGGCTCAGTGGATAGAGCATCAGCCTGTGGACTCAAGGGTCCCAGGTTCAATTCCGGTCAAGGGCGTGTACCTTGGTTGCGGGCACGGCCCCAGTGGGGAGTGTGCAGGAGGCAGCTGATCGATGTTTCTAACTCTCTATCCCTCTCCCTTCCTCTCTGTAAAAAAATCAATAAAATATATTTTAAAAATAAATAAATAAAAGGACATGGTACTTTCATGAAGAATGAGAAGTTTGCTCTGGTCAGCAAAAGGTGTGAGCTGATGATGAAGGGAAATTAAGCTGTGGATAGGTCAGCAGGGGCTTGATGCTAAAGGGCCTTATGGTTCAGACCAGAGGCCTAGATTTTGTTAGGAGGGCAGTGTATGCCTCTGAAGGGAGTTTCACAGAGTGGTGCCAAGGTCATATCAGAGCTTTGGGTACATCACTGTACCCACCGTGTGAAGCCTGGTTTGCGAACGGGGGGAGTAAGTAGAGGCACTTAGGAGTTGAGAGCCATTAGGAGATTGTTGGAAAAAGATGTTGGTGCCTAGACTGAGTGTGGCAATGGCCATGAGATTCAAGAACTATTAAAGGGTGGACTTGGTAGGATTTGGGGACAAGCAGGGTGAAAGTAAAGTTGTTCAGATTTCTGGCTTGAGCATCAAGACAAATGATAACATTCATTTGGTATAAGGGACAGGGACAAGTTTGGGACATGGAAGAGGAAGAATTGAGTCTGGGGACTTCTGCAGGAGGGTCAGGAGGCAGGGTGTGGGCCATCTGGAGGAATGGCCATCTGCACTGCAGTTAGGAATGATTTGCTAAATTGGTTTGGTCATTGTTTGAACCGGCAAGGTGCTCCCTGTGTCATTGCAGCAAGTGCCAAGCTGGCTTGAGCTCTCCGAGATGACCGAGCAGCCCGACTACGATCTGGAGACTTTTGTGAACAAGACAGAGTCTGCCCTGGCCCAGCAAGCCAAGCACTTCTCAGCCCTGCAAGGTGGGTGCAGCTGGATGGGGAGCTGCAGGGTGGGGTCTTTGCAGGTGATGGCAGCTCTGCCCTGAGGGAGTGGGGCTCTGAGACACCCTCTAACCCTTAGTGTACCACCTCTCTCCTTCCTTCCAGATGACATCAAGGCCTTACGCTTGGCCATGCAGATGGAAGAACAGGCCAGCAAACAAATAAGCAGCAAGAAACGGCCCCAGTGACGACTGCAAATAAAGATATTTGGTGTCACACCCAGCCTTTTCACCACCCCACTTCTCCCCAGTGAACTGTGGGCACCTGGTTCTGAGCTCAGACAGGCTTTGGTAAATGCCAAGTATTGGGGCATCAGAGCCAGGGCAGCTGGGGAGATCAGAGTGACATGGGACGCTACTTTCCTTCCTCCATTGTAGTCCTGAAGGGAGCAAGGATGAGAAGAGGGAACTTTTAACTACCCTGTGTGGCCCTTCTTTCCAAGTGGGGAAGGCTCGTTGGCATAGAGCTTTCTCTTGGTCAGCATTCTGCCTGCGTGGACTGGCTGCCGGCGGCTGTGACCTGCCATCCTTGGTCTGGGCACTAAAGTGTCTCATACTTTTAAACCTCTTCGTTCCTTGCTTTGCTGTTTTAAGGTCTAAGAGGATCCCTGTTGTTTTTTGTTTTGTGGTTATACATTGTGTCTAACAATAAAGAAAGAGGAAAAAATCAGCCTGTTGTGTGGTATGTGTGAAGGGCCTGGAGTGTGTCTGAACCTTCTGGGACTAAGGACACTACTGCAACTCTGGGCAGTGCTGATTCTGGGAGACCAAATCCACACCTGCAGATGGCCTGGTTCATATGTTGATACTCAACCACTGAGCCACACTGGTTGGGCCCAATACATTTTTGAATAGAAGTGGCCAGGGTGGACATCCTTGTTTTATTTCTGATCATTAAGGATAATATAAGCTGTGGAGTTTTGTAGATGGCCTTTATCAGGTGGAGGAAGTCACTTCTGTTTCTAGTTTGTAGAGTATTTTTATCATGAAAGTGTATTAAGTTTTATAGATTTTTTTCTGTGTTTTCCCCTTTATTCCATCAATATAGTATATTAATTTATTTTCAAATGTGAAACCAACCTTGCAAATCTGGGATAAATCCCACTTGCTTATGGTATATAGTGTTTTTTCCTTTTTTAAAAATGTTTTTTATTGAGTTTTAGAGAAGGAGAGAGAGGGAGGAAGGGAGAGGAAAAAGAAACATTGATCAGTTGCCTCCTGTACACACCCGACTGGGAACTGAATCTACACCTGGGCATGTGCCCTGAACAGTAATCAAACCAGCAACCTTTCAGTGCATGGGATGGATGATGCTCAACCAACTGAGCCACACAGGCCAAGGCATGATGTATAGCTTTTTTTGTTGTTAATCCTCACCCAAGGATATTTTTTTCCATTGATTTTTAGAACGTGAAAGGGAGGGAGGGAGGAAGAGAGAGAGAAACATCAGTGTAAGAGAGACACAGATTGGTTGCCTCCTGCATCAGTCTTGAGTAGGGGCAGGGGTTGATTCTGCAACCCAGGTACATGCCCTTGACCAGGAATTGAACTCATGACCCTTAGGTGCCTGGGCCAATGCTCTTACCATTTAGATACATGGGCCACAATGGTACATAGCTTTTAATTCCTGTTTGTGCAGAGCTTCAAGGTCAGCCATATCTCACTGATAGTAGGGTCTTTTCAGGTCTTATCTGGCTTGGCATACACTCAGCCCTGCATATGTGCATGGCCTTCTAACTTCCCAGGAATATGTAAGTTTTTCAAATCCCTTCATTGCACTGTTTTTCCTTGTAAGTGGGTTTTGGGGTTTATGGGGTTTTTGGTCAGCCTCTTATTAGCCCCAACTAGTAGTGCTGCCTCAGGCATCTGTGTTGCTCATGTGTAGGCACCCACAAAATGATAGGAGTAGTACTAGAAAAAGTATCAGTGAGTCAGGATTTAAAATCTTCCAGGCATAAGTTGGTAAGAACCAGCATTTATGGATAACTGCAGTAAAGAGGGGTTGTGAATGTTAAAGTCTTATAGCATAAAATTCAAAGTTTGTGGTTTTTAGAGAAGATAGAGTAAGGATGGCCTAAAATTGGCAAAGACCATGGAGCATACCTCTCTCCCATCTAGAGAACCAGAGTGTAGTCATCTTCCACTTGAGAAAGGTTGACCAGAAAAAGTCTTCTGAGATAATCGGGTTTCTGTTAGAAAGCAGAGGAAACATTCAGAAGGCAAAATTTAGAGAAGAGGTTGAAGACAAAGAGGATTTTTTCCTGGTGAATGACACACGACATACTGGTAAGATTGTAGGAACTGGATGCTGAGAAATCTGTATAAATATATATTTACCTGCCTCAGGATTTGAATGTGGGTAGTAGCGCCCTAGCCACTTTGGCTCACTGGATAGAGCACAGGCCTGTGGACTGAAGGGTCCCGGGTTTGATTCTGGTCAAGGGCACATGCCCACGTTGCAGGCTCAACCCCCAGAAGGGGGCATGCAGGAGGCAACCAGTCAATGATTTTTTCTCTCATCGTTGATCTTTCTCTCTCTCCCTCTCCCTTTCTCTCTGAAATCAATAAAAATATATTTCTAAAAAATAATAGAGTGAAATAAGAAAACCACCTCTTTGGCAACTTAAATGCCATTAGCTTCCTAATCCCAAGATTTACATTCATTACAAATTTAATATGAAATAGAAAATATATTTATTATTTTTTAAAATATATTTTATTGATTTTCTACAGAGAGGAAGGGAAAGAGATAGAGATGAGAGAGAAACATCGATCAGCCGCCTCCCGCACATCTCCCACTGGAGATGTGCCCGCAACCCAGATACATACCCTTGACTGGAATCGAACCTGGGACCCTTCAGTCCGCAGGCCTACGCTCTATCCACTGAGCCAAACAGGTTTCGGCAGAAAATATATTTTAAAAAAGAAGGTGGGTGATAGTTATTATTTGGGGAGATAACTTTTTAAAATATATTTTTATTGATTTCAGAGAGGAAGGGAGAGGGAGAAAGAGAAACATCAATGATGAGAAAGAATCATTGATCAGCTGCCACCTGCACGCCTCACACTGGGGACCAAACCTGCTACCTGGGCATGTGCCCTGACCTGGAATGGAACCATGGCCTCTTGGTTCATAGGTCAGTGCTCAACCACTGAACCACACCAGTCAGGCAAGAGATAATTTTTCAAGGTAACTAATGAAAAAAAGGGCCAAAGCCATAATATGATCACTCATGGTCTCAAAGCAAATGGAGTAGTGTCCAGGAGAGGATATTGAGGGAAGCAGAAGAGAGGCTCTCTCCAGGATGACATGAAATTACACAGCCCCTATTCCTGGGTCTTCCAGTTCCTGGTAAGAAATTTAGATTTTATTCTACAGGGTCATGGGCAAGGAATGTCACCAACTCTCCAATCCCAGGGCCCTTGACAGTCACACCCACCATGGCCACAGCCCACACCCAAAACATTTATCTAGCCTGGGACATTTCTGGAAGCCTACCCTCAAGGCCAGTTTAGGGGTGCTGTAGTCCCCACAAAGGGACTCAGAACAGGAAAATCCACAACATGGGAGCACTGCATTGAAGCTGTTAGATCCTCAAAACCAGGCTTCAGGCCATGATATCCTTTCACCCCAGGGCCCACAGTTTGTCTAAGACACCTCTCCACTGACCATGCAGGGTCAAACTCATTTCATGGTGACACATACACACCCCACATACACCAAAGGGGGGAAAATAAATTTAGATTTTATTCTGAATGTGCTGGAAGCCAGTATGAGATTGAAGATACAGAAGAAAGGGATGATGTTGAGAGAATCCCTTCCAATGAATGAGATAGTATGGAGCCAACTATAAAAGGGCCTATAAATAAAGCAGTTTATTCCTTAAAAAAACAAAACTGCCCTCTGCTCTGTGTCCTCTTCAGTCACACCCCTTCAAACTTTCAAAACAATTATCTACACATATTGTATTTTTTAAATTTCCCCTTGTTTCAAGTTTTTGGAAAAACTAATCAAGTTTTGTCCACTTCACTGCACAGAAATTGCTCTTGCCAATGCCACTCAACAATCCAATAATCACTCTTTAGTCTTCCTTTTAACTAGACATCATAGTAGCATGAGACCATGACATGACCCTCACCCAGTGCTGTCACCCTAATTGCTCCTTCTGGCTCCCTTGCAAGCCTCTCTTCTCTACCTGGCCTTAAATGTTGCCATTCCTCAAGCCTTGGCCCTAGGCCCTCTTCTTCTATTTCTTTATACCAGAGGTTGGCATACTACTGTGTACTGATGGAACCCAAGAGCTTACTGGTTTTTGTTTGTTTGAAAAAAAATTCAAAAGCATAGTATTTCTAACAAATGAATCCCAGTATCCATAAAGTTTTATTGGCACACAGCCATATCCATTTGTCTACCTTTGTCTATGGCTGCCTTCACACTACAATAGCAAAGCTGACACAGAAACTATAGCCCACAAAGCCTAAAGTATTTACTTACCTTTTACAAGAAAAGTTTGCCTTATGCTGTCTCCCTAGATTACTATATTCATTCTGGCAGCATTAATTACCATTTATAAACCAATGATTCCCAAAAGATCCTCTGTCCAGATCTCTTCCATAAGGATGACCAGACATGAACATTCAGCTGCCTGTGTCAGGGAGAGGGAGAATTCCCTTTTACTTTTAGTTCTTACGGCTGGACTAGTAACAAGAGTAAAATTGACATAACACTGGATTAACAGAAAAAATCTATTTACATGTGTACATGGAGAATCACAATATGATGGTCAGATAATAAAATGAGGCTTCAATAAATTATCAAACAAGGCATCTTTTAATATTTTTTAGACAATAAATTTGTGAGAAACTAACAGGACAAAGAAAGTCAGTGCTCATAAGAAATCTAAGCAAGGTTTGGGCTTGAGTAGTAAATCAGTAAAGGCTAATGCTTGTTTCTACAGACTGGTCAGTTCTGAGCTACTTAACTCTTATCAGTAAGGGGTTTCTCTCCCAGCTGGTGTGGCTCAGTGTCCGCCCATGAACCAGGAGGTCACGGTTGATTCCCAGTCACGGCAGGTGCCTGGGTTATGGGTTCGATCCCCAGTGGGGGCCAGCAGGAGGCAGCCGATCAATGATTCTCTATCATTGATGTTTCTCTCTCTCTCTGAAATCAATAAAACATATTAAAAACTAAATAAGGTGTGTCTTCCATGTGCAGGGAGGACACTTTCACATGGGAGATTTATTTTCTGCATGTAAGGAGACAATGGAAAGTCAGGTGCCCTTCTGTTTCTCAAGTATCTAATTAACCGATATGCCATTATGTGATATTTTGGGGTGGCCTGTCTCAGGCCTCAACACTGCCATTCTCACTTACATGAGTCACCAAGCTCCTACCTAAGCCTACTCCACTTCAACAAAAATAGTACCAATACTCATCCAGTTGGTCAAGTGAATTACTGAAAATCCTTGACACACCTCCCTCTCCCTAAACCCCAACATCCAATTTCTCCCCAAACCCTTCAAAACAAAACCCAAGCTCATCCCTCCTTTCCATCTCTACTGCCTTTCACCCTTTCCCAACGCCCCACATCTCATCCTGGCCACTGCAAAAGCTTCCAAAATGCATCGTCTCAAAGGGCAAACGGCCAGGCTACTCCCCACGCCCCCTCGGCCGTGCCCGAGGCTGGGTACAGCCTCACCCTCCACCTCAGCTCACAGCTCGCCGAGCCGCGAGACTCCCAGCCTCAGGCGGTCCCCAGCGCCCCCGCCCAGGGTCCCTCCCCAACCCCCTCCCCAGCGGCCCCTGCCCAATCCCCTCCCCAGCCTCCTCCCTAAAAACGCAAAGAATCACGGTCCGGTTTGTAAAACGTAGCCCCAGCCCCTCCATAATCCCCTCCCCAGGGCTTCAGAGCCCAGATTCCCCTTTTAGGAGGAAGGTCTCCTGCGGTCGCAGACACGTGGTAACTGCGGGGCACGTAGGACGCGGTCGCAAAACCGTCGTAACTGCCGGTTACTTTCTACGTTTGAGGGCGGGACTACGTTTTACAAACCGGACCGTGATTCTTTGCGTTTTCTCTTTCGTACCGGCGCCGAGCCATGGGTGAGTGTTGCTTGTGTTAAGGGCTGCGGTAGAGGAGCGCGTTCAATCCGGCGCCATCCTGCCTCGCAGCCAAGCTAGGAGGGTGGGCGCGCTGACCCTCGGCAACGAACAGCCATGAGGAAGTTTGTGCTCAGGTCTGTGCTGCCGCGGCCAGCGCTGGGGTCCGTGCCCGAGCCCGAGCCGGGGCTGCCAGCGGCACCAACATGGCTGCCGCGGGAGAGGGTGCAGGCTGGGCGGCGCGCGCATGATGACAGCCTAGGACTGCTGTGAAACGCCGATCTCGGTGGGGAAGCCAACCTTGGAGAGCTGAGCGTGCCGCCCGCCCTGCACGGGGTCTGGAGCTGGCTAGGGCTCCCCGCGAGCCAGTGGTTCAAGTTTCCGCACCCCGCACCCCCAAACAGGTATCTCTCGGGACAACTGGCACAAGCGCCGCAAGACCGGGGGCAAGAGGAAGCCCTACCACAAGAAGCGGAAATATGAGCTGGGACGCCCTGCCGCCAACACTAAGGTTTGTGCGGGGCCTCGCCGCCCGGGCGGTCGTCTCCGCGGTCGGGCCTGCACGTGGCTGTTGCATCGCGGGGTGGGCTCGTGACGTTTGGGCTGAGCGGCCCCGTCATGCTCCCTGTTGGGTAAACGCTAAAGAGGTTGCACGGAGACGGGCTGTGTGTGCGGAGTAAAGGGCTCCGCGCATGCTGGTTAGAAACCCGGTGTTTGTCGCGTGGACACTAGATTGGTTTTTTCTTGGAGGTGACCGAGTGATGAAAGCAGGATCCTCAGGCCTGGCGTGGCCGTCTTGGCCACTGTGTGCCCCTGGCCGATGCTGGGACTCGTCATAGTTACACTGACTGTTCCTCCGCGCGGCCGGGCCCGCCTTCCCCTCCGTCCTGCCGTCCTTCCTGACCCAGTGCCCGTCTCTCCCGTGTTTCCCAGATTGGACCCCGCCGCATACACACCGTCCGCGTGCGCGGCGGCAACAAGAAGTACCGGGCCCTGAGGCTGGACGTGGGCAACTTCTCCTGGGGCTCCGAGTGTGAGTGAGGCCCGGCGGGCGTGGGTGGGGACTCGCGCCTGCCTTCCTTCTGAGACGTGGTTCTAGGAGCTCCCCCAAGTGCCGTTAGCAGCAGGTCCAGGGCCGCCACCCAGGGACTGAAGTTTCTCCTGCAAAGACCCTAAGGCGGTGGTAACGAGCGCTTTCTCCAGCCTGTGCTCAGTCCTGTGGGCTCGGAGGGGCTGTGGAAGGGGAGCTGGTGCCCTGTGGCTGGGTAAAGGCTGAGTTCCCTTGCTTCTCCTCGGGCCGCGTTAAGGCTGGGATGGGGGGGGGCCAGGCCAGTTGGCCTTTGGTTGGCTCTGCTTGATTCTGAATTTCTCCTGCGAGCAGGTTGTACGCGCAAAACGAGGATTATTGATGTTGTCTACAACGCATCCAACAACGAGCTGGTCCGCACCAAGACCCTAGTGAAGAACTGCATCGTGCTGGTTGACAGCACACCGTACCGACAGTGGTACGAGTCCCACTACGCACTGCCCCTGGGCCGCAAGAAGGGGGCCAAGCTGGTGCGTGTTTGGGGAGCCAACCCCCTGTAGGGTGGGGGGGGGCCCGCCTGATTGATTCCAGCCTTCTTGTGATGAAATTCCGTCCAGTTCTGCTACTGAATGGAAAGAGAAGAAAGCCTTTAGTGCTGAGGAAGGCAGAAGTTGGGATGCGCGGGGTTCAAGGGTACCGTGACAGTCCTTCCTCATGTTGGAATTTGGGGACCCCCAGCTAACCCATCTTTGTCTCCTTTACTCAGACTCCTGAAGAGGAAGAGATTTTGAACAAAAAACGATCAAAGAAAATTCAGAAGAAATACGATGAGAGGAAAAAGAATGCCAAAATCAGCAGTCTTCTCGAGGAGCAGTTCCAGCAGGGCAAGCTGCTTGGTGAGATGGCTGTTGGTTGGGGTGGTGGGTCACGAGCGATGGTGTGCCCTCTGCGTTTTACCCTTGCCTCGGTCCTTTTGACTGCCAGCTATATAGTCTTCACCAGGATAGTTTAATAACAGCAGCATACAGATCACCATTTGGTCAACCCATCAGTGGGAAGCTAAAATCGGAAATGGTGGGCAGGGGTCCATAGGCCTGAGTGAGCAGTGTTCTGAGAAGTGAGTGTTCAGGCTAAGGGGACTGTCTCAGTGATGAAAACTTTGTCCAGTTCTGCTACTGACTTTAAGCGATGATAAAGTATATCTGAGGAGACAACAGGTTTCCTGCCTGCCCCCCCATGCCTGAACCAGTGTGCTTTTAAGGGCACGTAGTTACGGGTAGACCGTATTGCTCTCTTGCTAAGGACTACATACTCTCTCGGCAGCATGCATCGCTTCAAGACCAGGCCAGTGCGGCCGAGCAGATGGCTATGTGCTCGAGGGCAAGGAGCTGGAGTTCTATCTGAGGAAAATCAAGGCCCGGAAAGGCAAATGAGTCCTCTTCCCTTCTATCCTAGCCCGTGGAATAAAGGTGTCTATCCTAGGTCCTGTGTCCACATCTGAATATTTGATCAGCACGCCATTAGAGAACTCTGAATCCCTCTCCCTGGAGGGCTGTACTTCAATACAGTAGTGGGGCCCTGGGCAACATGGATCAGTGGTTAGAGCCTCAACCTGCACACTGATTACGTGTCAAGGGCACTTACCTGGGTTGCAGGTTCAATCCCCTAGGTCAGGGAACATGCAGAAGGCAGCCAATTAAAAATGTGTGTCTCACACTGATGTTCCCCTCTGTCCTCCCTCCCTTTCGTTCTAAAAATCAATGGGAAAAATGTTCTTAGGCGAGGATTTAAAAAATATGTATAGCAGGGGGAAAGTGACATATGGCTTGCTGGGCAAGCAAAGACCATATAAGGGAGGTATTACAGCACTAAGGCCCCACGGTATTGATGCTTTGACCGTGATAGTAACGTGAAGCAATATTGCTTCTAAAGTTGGCTCCTTTAGAGATCCTGTACCCCTTGAACCTTGAGTTTAACATGTTACGCGCCCAGCCTATTTTGTCTTCCAGATGGAAAGTATAGTGTCAGTCACTGGTGACTGACTGGGCCCTTAACGTCTTAATGGTCTAAAAAGATTTCTGCATTGTTGAGAGCAGGTTCTATTTTTCTCTTAAGCCCTAACCCCTCCCCCTAAAAAGTACGTTAGGTTGCCAGTGATGTTTTAGTTCAGAGAAACTATGAGAATCATCGATCAGCTGCCTCCTGCATGCCCCCTACTGGGGATTGAGCCCGCAACTTGGGCATGTGCCCTTGACCAGAATCAAACTGGTTACCCTTCGGTCTGCAAACTGATGCTCGTATCTATTGAGCCAAACCAGGTAGGGCTATCCACCAGCATTTAAGTGAAGTTTGGGTTTATCTTTCTGACTTGAGCTAACACAGACCTACTTGACACCTGCACTTTGATGTGAGCAGGTTCGTCTAATAGCAAATCTTCTTCAACCTGTTATGTCACCTTGACCATTCTGGTCACTTTTTTGTATCTTACTCGTTCTCAATGCTGCTTCTGCTGTCCCCAGTGCAACCCCAGCAGTCAGGTTATTTTAAAACATTGGGTTTTTAACAAAACCCCTTCCCATCTCAAAATCCTTACTACTGTGGAACTCAGTGTGACTGGTCCCTTCTCTATAGTGCCTACCATCTGGCTTTAATTTATGAACAGTTAAGATACCCACATGACTTTCTCCAGGTCTTTGCTCTGTCTAGTGCAGGAGTGGGCAAACTTTTTGACTCGAGGGCCACAATGGGTTCTTAAACTGGACCGGAGGGCCGGAACAAAAGCATGGATGGAGTGTTTGTGTGAACTAATATAAATTCAAAGTAAACATCATTACATAAAAGGGTATGGTCTTTTTTTTGTGTGTTTTTTTTTTTTTTTTTTTTTTAGTTTTTTTTTTTTTAGTTTTATTCATTTCAAATGGGCCGGATTTGCCCACGGCTGGTCTACTGAGTTCCCTGATCACAATTTTTAAAAATATGTTTTTATTGATTTTTAGGGAGAGAGGGATAGAGACAACCATCGATGAGAGCCCTAGCTAGTTTGACTCAGTGGATAGAGCATTGGTCAGCCCTGCAGACCGAAGGGTTCTGGATTCTATTCAGGTCAAGGGCACAAACCTTGGTTTCAGGCACCTTCTTGGCCCCCAGACCATTGTCAGGGCATGTGCGGGAAGCAGCCAATCTCTCACATCGATAGTTGTGTTTCCCTCTTTTTTCTACTCTGTAAAAATCAATGGAAAATATCCTCTGGTGAGGATTAAAAAGAAACATCAAGCTCTAGCCAGTTTCCGTCAACTTTAAATTGGGTCAGTCCTGCAGACTAAGAGGTCCCGGGTTCGATTGCGGCCAAGGGCGTGTGCCTGGGTTGCAGGTACATCCCCAGTGGAGGATGTGCAGGGGGCAGCTGATGAATGTTTCTCTCTCATCGATGTTTCTAACTCTATCTCTCTCCAATCCTCTGTAAAAAAATCAATAAAATATATTTTAAAAATAAATAAATTGGATCAGTGGATAGAGCATTGGCCTGCAGGACTTACAGTCCTGGATTCGTTGGGTTCAAGGGCACATGTCCCGGTTGTGGACTCAATCCCCAATAGGGGGCGTGCAGGAGGCAGCCAATCAATGATTCACCATTGATGTTTCCCTTCCTCTTTGAAATCAATAAAAATATATTTTTAAAAAATAATAAAAGAAGCATGTATTTTTCCATTAATAAAACATCGCTGAGAGAGAATCATTGATTGGCTGCCTCCTGCATGCACCCCACTGGGTATTGAGCCCGATACCTGGGCGTGTGAGCAACTTGGTTTCTGGGTTGATGCTCAACTGTTGAGCCACCCGGGTTAGGCTGATCACAGTTTGAAATTGCAGCCTCCTCCACACTGTTTTAACCGTTTTTCTCAGTCCTTTACGTGGCATATTTATTTGCTTATCTTTTTTTGTCCTCAAAATACAACTCAAGGAGCAGGGATATTTGTTTCCTGCTGTGTCTCCAGTATCTGGGAAAGTGCATGGCCATGTGCCACACACTCAAATATGTGCTAAATTAATGAGTTCCTGAAGACTGATCCAATTTATTTAAAGTTGATGGAAAGTGCAAATACATATTTTATGAGCCAAGTGAGTGCAAAATCCAATTGATTCATCAACTTGGCTAACTTGCAGAATTATGTGAACAGTCAATTGTGAAAGAGGAGCCCCCAAAACCAGGACAAAGATAAGTCAACCCAAACCTCTAAAACTGGTTCTCAACCTTCTGGCCCTTTAAATACAGTTCCTCATGTGACCCAACCATAAAATTATTTTCGTTGCTATTTCATAATTAATGTTGCTACTGTTACGAATCGTAATGTAAATATCTGATATGCAGGATGGTCTTAGGCGACCCCTCTGAAAGGGTTGTTCAACCGCCAAAGGGGTCGCGACCCACAGGTTGAGAACCACTGCTCTAAAATCTTACCATTGGCTCTGGGGAGACCTAGCCTCCACCTTCTTACCCAGTAAGAATCTTCGTGCACCAACTTAATAGTTACTGAGAGTGACACTCCACACTTTGCCTTTCCTCTCTTTGGGGAGTGGGGACGGAGGGAGGGGGAGTGGCTTCCAGTAAAGACCTGAAGACCTACTAGACACATTCAAAAAGCTATAAGCACTCCTTTGCCTTTTCTAACTTGAGCTCTGCAAGGCGTTGATCATCAATCTCCATCCCTTCCACTTCATCTGTCAGTAGGACCAATAGGTTCTAAGGAGCCTGCACTGTCTTCACAGATTAAGGTTCTTGCCCTGGAGCAAGGCTACCTCCCCCTGAAAACCCAGCAAAAACTCACACCTTCCTTAGTGAATGGCTATGTTGTGCTGTTGTCCATATTACAGATTTGGTCACGCAGCAGGAAAATAGCAAAACCAGCATTCTGATGGAGTCCATAGGCTAATGCCACCGGCTGCACTCAGCCTCTACCTATGTACTCCTGCCTCCCCTCTGAGTTCTGGCATTTGCCTCCTTGGGCATTATGATCAGCTTTGATATTCACTAATTTATTTACTGGAGGCTGATCCTAGAACACAGGCACCTTAGAGGAGCTCAGTTTAGCAATGACTCCAATCTAGTTCTTTCTCTTAATCATGAACTGAGTGCTCCCAGCACAGCAGTACCACCATGGGGATAGACAACTTTCATCCCTTAATTAAAAAATATATATGTGTATATATATATATATATATATATATATATATATATATATAATGTCTTTATTCATTTCAGAGAGGATGGGAGAGAGAGAGACATCAATGATGAGAGAGAATCATTGCTCAGCTGCCTCCTCCATGCCCCCCACTGGGGATCGAGCCTGCAACCTGGGCATGTGCCCCTGGCCGGAATCGAACCTGGGACCCTCAGTCCACAGGCCGCATTCTGTCCACTGAGCCAAACCGGCCAGGGCTCATCCCTTAAATTTACCCATTCTCCACATTTGGTTGGTGGGAGTGGAGAAAGGCTTGGCACAAAGTGCAGATGCTAGGAGCGTGGGCTGGGTGGTGTATGTATGTCTGCCTTCACATCTGAGTTTAATCAGCTTCCAGTGCAGGTTCCCAAGCCCTTTATCTCACCGCACAGCATGCCAATTCAATTTTAAACGATTGTAACTGCACAAGCGATAAATATATTCTCATTGTAAACAAAAAATTGAACATTACAGATAAAGCGAAAGTGCCCAACACATACTTTGATTCATCTTCAGAGTGAGGTTATCGGGCTAGGGTATATTCTAAACATCTTATGTATGACTCAAATTGTGATCCTCGAGCTCCATTTCAGATCTAGTGAAACGTTGAGAGTGGAACCTAGGACTTTTTAATGAGCCCTTCAGTCATGGTGATGCTTCCTCAAGACTGAGAGCTGGCCTAGCCCCCCACTGCCGAGGAAATGAGCTGCACCGGGGCCGTAGCTGCGCCTCTGCCTCTCCATGTGTTCTTCCAGCTTCAGCTCCCCACAGAATCCATCCCTCCTCCCGTCAAAGTGGACACATTCCGAGCCTTGGCTCAGGCCCTTCTCTCCATCTTCCTCTTTCAAGGCGGTCCCTAACTGCTCCTGCTCCTAATACACCGGGGAGGGGGCGAGAAGGGGGGAGGGGCTGCCTCTGCTCAGGGCTCCTGGGCCTGGTCCTCTGGACCCGCCTCCTCCTCCATGCAGTCCACCTCCTCAATGCAGTCCTCGGGGTCTCCACCCTCCTCGGCCCTGGAGCGCAGCAGATAAGGGGTCCGGGGAGGTCCTCGTGTCCGGCCGAAGTTCCGGAGACTGATGGCAGGGGAGGGTGCTCCTGCACCCAGGAAGCGGCTGAGCAGCGGGGTCTGCGTGGCTGGCACCTGCCGAGCCAATGCAGGGGTCGCCTCCACCTGCAGACTCCGCTCGGGGTCGTCACTCATGCTGCGGGCGAGAGGACCGCGTGAGCGAGCTTCACCACAGGCCCACAGGCTGGACTTGCTCTCCAGAAGAGGGTGGGGAGGACTGAGCCACTGGCATCCCAGATGGTGGGGGGACCAGGCCCTCCTGCTGGGGCCACTCACCGCAGGTTGAAAGTTGAGCCCAGAAAGGAAGGCTTCAGAGACTCCGCCACCGTGGCCACCGTGTAGGGCGGCTGCACTGAGCCTTCATCCCAGTACAGGTCCTTCTCCGCCGGAGGCAGGTTCTGGTACATGTCATCCACGGAGAGCAGGGACACCTGGGGTGGGCCGCAAGTCACAGAGGCCCTCCTTTCCTTCACAACAGGGCTCTGCCCCCCGGCCACCACTCACCTGCAAGTTGCGGTCAATGAGCTGGTTGGTTTCAAAGTCATCATCATCCTCACCAAAGGGGTTGATGATCTGTTCGGCCACCTGCAGGTGGAAAGACAGTGTTTCTGCTCCATTCTCTGTCCCCAAAGTTGGGGTGAGCCCTGGGTTCATGTCTCTACAGAACACGCTGGCATGACCACCCAAGGTGCCCACCTTGAGCCAGCCAGCATAGAAGAAGAACTGCAGCAGAGTGGTGAGAGGCACATACATGTCCAGGTCCCCCAGCACTGGCCCCGGGTCCGGGCCTGGCTCCAGAGGTTTGGCGGCCCCTGCCTCTGGCTCCACAAACTGGCGGCCAACCAGGGAGAGGGCAAAGAAGGAGTATACTGCTATGGTCACCACCTGGAGAAGGGAAGCCTGGCTGAAGGGTCGGGAGAAATGCTGTCCCTGTCCCTAAGGGCCTGCGGAGGGGGATGCGTGTGGGGGTCCGACAAGTCATGAAAACATGTGGCAAGGTATGGCAGCACCGGAGAGCATGGGCTCATCTCAGTGGGTGTCCAGGGAGGAGGAGGCCTCCGCTGTTCAATGTCTCACTAGACTGAACTGCCCCAAGGCAGGTTCCATCTCTAATTCTCAGCGCCTCACACAGCACAGGACAGACGGACTGGGGAGGCAGAGGCCGTTACTTGGGTGTAGACGAGAGGGATGCTGATCCAGTCATAGTGAAACAGCATGCTGCACTTGGCTCGGTACTTGTTCAGCTCCTGGTGGAAAGCAGGAGGAGGGAGTCAGTGACGATGAGGAATGAAGAATGTGGGGAGAAGAGGGGAGCCCAACACACACTGGGCCTGGGACAGGTCTGGAGGCTCATTCTGCTCTCAGAGGTGTTCCCAGGCTCGGGTGCCTGTGATGGGAAGCAGTTTAGCAAAGTAATCGTAAGCACAGAGCTGGAGCCAGATTGTCTGAGTATGATCCCAGTTTGCCTAATTAGTTGTGTGACTTGGGCAAATTTCTTTTCCACTCTCTGCTTCAGTTTCCACATCTGTGAAAGGGGGTGGTAATAAAGGTACCTACCTCAAGGATTGTGAGGGTTAAATGAGTTAATAAAGTACAGTGCTTCCAACAATGTGCAGTACCTAGTTGGCACGATGGAAGTGTTAAATACTAAAATTATGATTCCAGTTTGCAGAGCTAGGGGAAGGAGGGCACAGGGCCTGATCCTAGGCGGACTCACTTCCAGGAGCAGGCAGAGAGCAATGTCATCACGGATTCGCCCGTCGCTCCGGGCCTGGGCCGCCAGGTTGGTGAACCAGACACAGGGGACCCAGTACTTGTTGAAGTCAGACTTCAGGCTCTCAAACTTTTTCCTTTCTTCCTGAGACATGAAACCTGCAGAGAGAAAGTGGGTGGAGCCTAGACTCTGCCTCTAGATGCTAGGACCCTGGAGCTTCCCCTGGGGGTCAGACCTCCCCTCCCAGGAGGCACAGGCACCTGCATCCACCACGTGCTCCATGGTGGGGAAGCGCTTAAGCACCCGGGTGCTGACCGAGCGCAGCACTAGCACTGACGCCAGGTTGGCATAGCGGACCAGGGTGCGGCGCAGCAGGCGGCCCTGCTGGTCCAGGCCGTGCACGCTGGCCGAGATGACGCACATCAGCTGGTCCGGCAGCGGGATGCTTGTGTACTGGGCCCACCAGCGGTTCACCACCAAGGTCACGTAGAAACCTGGTTGCCACCAAGGGTAGCAGGGATGGGAGGGAAAGATGAAAGGCCTGGGAGTCGGCGTGTCCTGCCCCTCAGCCAGAGCGCCTGGTCCAGGGCAGGTTGAACCAAGGCAGAGGGAAGGACACGTTTGGCTCCGGTGCCCTGCCTCGCTGTCAGGAGGACACCCTCTTCCTCTGGTCTGACCACGCTGGGAGGAAGGAGGGCAGCCCTTCTCAGGCAGAGAAGCGGTGGTTCAAGGCCAGGCGGTTCACGAGCCCTGCCTCCCATGCGGGTGGGAATGGGGTGTCATCTCTCCCCAGCTCCCCTCCAGTACCAGAGGTTGGTGATGCCAGCCAGCAGGTAGCTGGGGCCTTGTTTGGAGTGAGGGTGCAGCAAGTGATAAGCAAGGCCTACCGCCCTGGAAATCCCGGACCCGGCACACAGCTCCCATGCCTCTGAGCCTGCTCTGGTTGGTCTCCAGGCTGGGCTACTGGGGTAAATCTGACCCTCAGAGCTGTCAACCCCACCCAAAGGTCAGGGAAGAGGGTGAGGATGCCAGGGAGAACTAGAGGATAGCCTCACCTAGGACAAAGGACAAGGGGATGAGGTCTGCAGAGCGGTTGCAGTATCGGGCCACCTGGGCATACACGAGCCTCTGCTCCTGGGTCAGCAGCAGCCTGGGAAGGTCCGGTGCAGGCCCGGGTTAGAGGGAGGCGGGCAGCCCAGTCCCCCACAGACCAGCCCTGAGGCCTCACCCTCGCACCGGTAGGTGATGCTGAGCAGAGCGTACAGGACGATGAAGAGTAGGAACTCCTTGTAGAGGAGCTTGTAGATGCTTCCCCTCCAACGGAGAAGCAGCCCCGAGAAGCCTCCGAAGCGGGCCTCTGCCACTTTGAGGGTGTACGACACCGTCATGGCGCTGGGGGCCTGGAGGAGGGCACGAGAGCTGCCCCCAGAGCTGTCCCCTTCCCCCAGCAAGCCTTCTCTTAGCTTGCCCTCTTCTCGTCACCGAGCTGTTCCCCAGGCAACCTCCTTCAGCGGTGGTCATACACACCCAGCCTTCACCTGTGTCAGTGGGCAAGGTGGGGGGAAGCTGCCAGGGACAAAGCACAGCTCCCCCCCCCCCCGCCCCCTAAAGGTCAGTGGTGCGGGGGTCATGCCAGAGTGGGTGGGACAAGGGAGAGCTGAGATCTAGGCTGTCTCATACCTGAGGCTTCCCAGGGCTCCTCTTGCACTTGCAGGCCTAGGAATAGTCAGATCTTGAACCGCCGAAGACAGGAGATGCAACTCCAGTCCAGACCCTCCACTATCCCTTGGGGTCTCGCTCTCCGAGCTGGTCTCCTGAGGCCTAGGGCATTCTCACCCCCACCCCATACCTGCCTACCTGCTCTGGGCAGCAGCCAGTGTTGAGGAAGGAGAACTGGGCCAGTGTTCACCTCACACACACTTAAGTACCTCCTGGGCCCATTATGTTTGACTGGACTGAGGTTATCATTGATGGATTGAGGCTGTCATCCGCTTCCTCTGGGCCTGGGAACTGGATATGTCTCCTACCACTGCAGGGCTGGGCTGGCCTTCGAATGGCAGAAGTGCCATCAGCACTGACCCCACAGCTCACACAGATGACACCATGTCCTTGAAGTCAGGATGATAGGGATTACTGTCCCATGCTGGTCCAGGTGAGAAAACAGATGCATGATAAATTGTTACAATTAGAACAGCTGCTGATCCCAGAGCACTGACTAAGCGGCAGGCACTGTGCCCAAGGCAGAATCACCCTCTGGCAGAATCCTCATTGCAACCCCAGGAGGTAGGAATCATCCCCACCTCACAGATGAGGCTCCAAGAAGTAAATGACTTGCCCAAGAACCTACAGCTGGGATGTGTTGGAGGCAGGATTCAAAGCTGGAGCTGATGGACTTCAAAAGCTGGAATTGGCCTATCTGGGCCTACACAAGGGCTGGCACCCTGAAGCCAGGGTCCTGTCCCCAGCCACACTGCCAAGCTTCTAGTCCAGGCTGGGGGGAGAGGGCGGGGCCTGGCCTGGCCCTTCCCCGTTCCCCTTCCACAGGGCTGATGAGACCACAGACCTGGGACTCAGCCCTAGAGACGCATCCCCCTTCAGCCGTGCCCAGCATCCTGACTCCTAGGGAGCCTAGGATCTGGAGTGGCATTTCCACTTCTGGGCTTCAATTTCTTTGTTGTTCAAACAGAGGAAATAATACCGGAGGCACCAGGTCAATTGCCCACCCAGCACCAAGTCGCCCACAGAAACCTGGGAGTGGTGGCCCCGTTTCTGGCCTGTATTGGGCAGCTCCTTCCCCCACACTGTGAGCTGGTTCCCACGCACAAGTGTTTGCTGAGGAGGAACCTTGGGAGTCAGACAAACCTGGGCTTGAATTCCAGCCCTCTGTAACCTGTACAAGTTACCTACCTACCCTCTGAATCTGTTTCCTCTTCTGCAAACCAGGATCAATAACACCTTCCTCACCGGGCAACTGAGAGTATCAAAGAAACGATGCCCAGACAGAGCCTGGAGCACGGCGGGCATTTAGCCCCGGCTGCTATTCCCATGAGAAGCCAAATCTGTTCCCTTCGGTTTCTACCTACTGGTCCACTGTTGCATCCCAGAACCAGGCAATCCTTCAAAGATGAAGAGACACAACTTTCCCCTGATGCCTCACTAGCCTGTCCCCAAAGCCATGCAATGCCAGGGCCTGGCTTCTAAGCGGGATACCAGGACACAAGGCCCTCTGAGATGCCCCGTCTCACCTTTACCAGCCTCTACCCAGCTCCTTCTCACTGTTCCTTCACCAGCCAGCTCAGAGCACCCTCTGGGAAGCCTGCCACGATTTTCCCCCAGGTCACTCCTCAAAACCCTCTAGGCTTCCTCCCTCCTCTTGCGGCAGGTAAACACACTGGTCTGCGGTCTCCCCTCTAGCACATGAGATCCTTGAGGAGAGCATTGGATCTGATTCATCTTGGTAAAGCTGGAGAGGATTTGAATCCAGGCAGTTTTTCCTTTCTTTTTTCCTTTTATTTTTTGTCCCTTTTAACATGAAAGACATCTGATCCACCTCCCTCTTTTTCATAAACAATTTATTGGATGAGCAAGGTCTAGAAACCTACTCATGGCCTGACTAGGGCCCAGTGAGATGTCAATATGAGGACAGAAGAGGACTGGTGTGTGTGTCCATCTCAGAGGACGAGGTACCAGCTCGGGGCCTCTGGCCATCACGGCCAGGCAGCCCTTTCCCAAGCTGTGATCTGTGGCTTTCCTGGAGCATTCGGGGCTGCTTCCCACTGACAGAGTTTCTTGTACCTGGGAAGCCAGGCTCCAGACTGGAGGAGCTCAGTCCCTGCGGTCCTGGGGGCCTCTCTCTGACTGCAGACCTTGAGGGCAACCCCGCTGGTTGCATTGCAGTCCTCCACCCCACCCGCCTCTGTGGCCCTCACACTTCTGCCTGTTACCAACTCTGGATCGCTGAGCTGCGGATTTCCCACAGAGCCACCAGTCGGGGCACAGGACCTGAAGCCTCACCAGAGGACGGGGCTGATCCCAGGCCCCAGCCAACCCCTCCCTCCTGAGTTCGCTTATCTCCCTTCCCAGCTGCTGACAGGTCCCTGGGTTTATGGCCCAGGAGAGGAACCACTCCAGCCGTAAATCACCTGGCCCACCCTTTTTTATCATCCTCTAGCCCTTGCCTCTCCTCTTGCCTGGCTCCCTCTCATCTAGCCCTAACCACCAGTGACCCTCTCCCCTCCTCACAGCCGAGAGCTGGATTGACGGCTTGGCAGTTTACAGCACGTAGGCTGGAGCCAGACTCCGCCTGAACGACCTCTGTGCCCCTGGGCAAGCCACTTAACCTCTGTGCTCAACTTCCCTACACACACCTGCCTCACAGAGTTGTTATGAGTATCAAATGAATTCATACTTACAAAGTGCTCAGAATAGCAAAACAATTGGTAAGTAGGAAATGCCTTCAAAGACCACCTGAGGTGTTTTCTTTTTTAAAATATATCTTTATTGCTTTCAGAGAGGAAGGGAGAGGGAGAGAGATAGAAACATCAATGATGAGAGAGAATCATTGATCAGCTGTCTCCTGCACGCTCCACGCGGGATGGAGCCCGAAACTCAGGTATGTGCTCTTGACCGGAATTGAACCGTGACCTCCTGGTTCATAGGTCAATGCTCAACTACTGAGCCACACCGACCGGGCCTGAGGTTTCTTTAAAGCTGAAGCCAATAGTCCCTCCTAAGTCCTAGCCTTACTTGGCATCTCTCATTCTTGCACGACTCCCTTAGCCTCTGTGACCTGACACTGTTCAGAGATTTTTTTTTTTTTTTTTAATATGGAACACTTCAGCCCTAGCTGGTTTGGCTCAGTGGATACAGCGCTGGCCTGCAGACTGAAGGGTCCCAGGTTCAATTCCGTTCAAGGGCACATGCCCGGGTTGTGGGCTTGATCCCCAGTGGGGCTCGTGCAGGAGGCAGCAGATCAATGATTCTCTAGCAAAATTACAGTTATGAAGTAGCAACGAAAATAATTTCATGGTTGGGGGTCACCACAACATGAGGAACTGTATTGAAGGGTCGCGGCATTAGGAAGGTTGAGAACCACTGGAGCCAGATCCTTCAAAAGGAACTCAATGGTCATAAGTCCCTTCCGGGAAGTTTCATCTCCTATCGCCAGAGAGGAGACTAAAAGTCTATATTACATCCAGACAAACTTTGTCACAAGCTATCATGTCTCCCACCCATTCTTCCACGGCCCCACTCATCTTCCTAGAAATCACTTACCCTACCCTACCAGGCTTATGTTCCCCTTCCCCTTTCCCTATTAAGATGGTATTTAAACCTGAATTCTAAGCCACATGAGTTACTCATTTTCCCTTGGTTATATCCCATGTATACATACTGATACATGTTAATAAACTTCCGTTTGTTTTTCTTTCTTCTCTTTTTTTTTAATCCTCACCCGAGGATATTTCTTCCCATTGATTTTTAGAGCAGATTGAGTGGAAGGGAGAGGGAGAGACAGAGAGAAACACCGATATGAGAGAGACACATGGCTTGGTTGTCTCCCGCACGCCTCCGACTCGGGCCGGGAGCCTGTAACCGAGGCATGTGCCCTCGACCAGAATCCAACCCGGGACCCTTCAGTCCGCAGGCTGATGCTCGATCCACTGAGCCAAACTGGCTAGGGCTGTTTGTTTTTCTTTTATTAATCTGTCTTTTTGCTAAAGAATCCCATCTGAGCCCTGACCGGTTTGGCTCAGTGGATAGAGCGTCGGCCTGCAGACCGAAGGGTCCCAGGTTTGATTCTGGTCAAGGGCATGTACCTTGGTTGCAGGCACATCCCCAATAGGGGATGTGCAGGAGGCAGCTGATCGATGTTTCTAACTCTCTATCCCTCTCCCTTCCTCTCTGTAAAAAATCAATAAGATATATTAAAAACAAAGAAGAATCCCATCTGAAAACCTAAGATGGGTGGAGGTAGTTTTGACTCCTCTATAAAGTCCTAACCACAGTACCGTAGACTTGTAACTGTATTTGGAGACAGCACCTTTAAGAAGATATGTAAGTAAGTTAAAAGGAGGCCTTGACCTTGCTCAGCATGGCTCAGTGGTTCAGCATCGACCTATAGACCAGGAAGTCAGGGTTCGATTGCTGGTCAGGGCACATGCCCTAGAGGGGGCCTGCAGGAGGCAGTCAATCAATGATTCTCTCTCATCATTGATGTTTCTAGTCTCTCTCCCTCTCTCTTCTCTCTGAAATTAATAAAAATATTTTTAAAAAGGAGGCCTTGAGGTGGGCCCAGATCTGATCTGATGTCTCTTTAAATTATTGATTGATTGATTTTAGAGAGAGAGAAAGGAAAAGAGAGAAACATCTATTTGTTGTTCCACTTATTTATGCATTCATTAGTTGATTCTCTTTTTAAAATTTTCACCCTGAGGACATGTTTCCATTGAATTTTATTTTATTGTTAAACTTATTTTTAGTTATTTTTGCTAATCCTCACCTGGGGTTATTTTTCCATTGATTTTTAGAGAGAGTGGAAGGGAAGGGGAGAGAACAGAGAGAGGAACATCGATGTAAGACAGGCACATCCATTGGGATTGGTTGCCTCCTGCATGCGCCCCCACCAGGCCAGGGACTGAGCCTGCAAGTGAGGCACGTGCCCTTGACCGGACTCAAACCCGGGACCGTCAGTCCACAGGCCAACACTCTCTCCACTGTGCCAAACCAGCTAGGGCTTTGTTGAATTTTAGAAAGAGAGAAACATCAATTGGTTGCCTCCTGTATGCGCCCAGATCAGGGATTGAACCCAGTACCTAGGTATGTGCCCTGACCAGGAATCAAACCCGAAACCTTTGGGGTAGGAGACAATGCTCCAACCAACTGAGCCCAGACCAGAGCTCATTGGTTGATTCTTTCTATAAATATATATTTTTATTGATTTCAGAGAGGAAAGGAGAGGGAGAGAGAGAGAGAGAGAAACATCAATGATGAGAGAGAATCATCCATCAGCTGCCTCCTGCATGGCCCTTACTGGGGATGAAGCCTGCACCCCTGGCATGGGCTGATGGGGAAATTAACCGTGACTTCCTGCTTCACATGTCGAAGCTCAACCACTGAGCTACTCTGGCCAGGCTCATTGGTTGATTCTTTATTTTTTTTCAGAGATGAAGGGAAAGGGAGAGAGAGACAGAAACATCAGTGGTGAGAGAGAATCACTGATCGGCTGCCTCCTGCACACCCTCTAGAGGGGATCAAACCCGAAACCCAGGCTGAGCCAAACCAGCTGGGGCATTGGTTGATTCTTGTAAGTACCCTGACTGGGGATAGGACCCGAAACCTTGGCTTATCGGGAGGGTTCTCTAACCAGCTGAGCTACCTGCTCAGGGCTCACTGACTAGGGTCTGTCTCAGAAGAGATCAGATTAGGACATAAAGAAAAGATCTCGTGAAGTCAGAGGGAGAAGACTGCGTCTGCAGTCTCGGAGGAAGTGAACCTTCTCAACACCTCGATCTTGGACTTCCAGCCTCCAGAGCGGAAAGAAAATAAATTTCTGTTGGTTAAGCCATCTAGTCCCTGGTATTTTGATATGTCAACCCTAGAAAACAAATATACATACATTTTGTTTATTTTCCAAAATAAAAGTGCAATAACAAATAATGCCTTTTCAAACTATACATGCCTCGGCCCCATTTCCCCTGTGGATTTGTCCCTTCTAGCCCCAGCACTACCATTTCCCCCGTGGAAAGTTGTTGACCTATAGGACAAAGATCAAACTCCTGAATCTGGCAATGAAAGCGTTCCTGCCAAAGCCCATCTCCTACTCCCCCTCATATTTTTTTTAAATATATTTTATTGATTTTTCACAGAGAGGAAGGGAGAGAGATAGAGAGTTAGAAACATGGATGAGAGAGAAACATCGACCAGCCGCCTCCCGCACACCTCCCACTGGGGATGTGCCCGCAACCCAGGCACATGCCCCCGACCGGAATCGAACTTGGGACCCCTCAGTCCGCAGGCCGACGCTCTATCCACTGAGCCAAACCAGTTCCGGCTCCCCTCATTTGAGCTACTAGTGTTTCTCCTCCATATCTCAGGCTGTTTTGGTTTTCCCTTCAGTGGCTGTGAAGGGCAAGGTTAGAGAAGTAGGCCGTTGAGGGCCTGATGAGGGGTTGAGTGGGATAGCTATATGGAAGGAAGATGAAATGGAGATGAGACTAAAAGGCAGGGAGACCAGCAAGGTCCAATAGCAATAATTCCAACCGGGGAGACTGTGACCCAGATTAGGGTGCGGGGGAAAGATGAGTGAAGTGGATAGATTTCAGAGATATTTGGGAGGTAAAATTGACATGTATTGGGCACTCAAAAAATATATTTTTAAAAGATATTTTTATTGCCCTAGCTGGTTTGGCTCAATGGATAGAGCGTCAGCCTGCGGACTGAAGGGTCCCGGGTTCGATTCCGGCCAAGGGCACATGCCTGGGTTGCAGGCTCCATCTCCGGTAGGGGGCGAGCAGGAGGCAGCCAATCAATGATTCTCTCTCATCACTGATGTTTCTATCTCTCTCTCCCTCTCCCTTCCTCTCTAAAATCAATATAATATATTTAAAAATAAAAAAAAATAAAAAATAAAATAAAAAATATTTTTATTGATTTCAGAGAGAGGAAGGGAGAGGGAGAGATAGAAACATCAATGATGAGAGAATCATTGATTGGCTGTCTCCTGCATGCCCCCTACTGGGGATTGAGCCCACAACCCAGGCATGTGCCCTGCCTGACGGGGAATGGAACCCTGACTTCCTGGTTTGTAGGTCAATGCTTAACCACTGAGATGCTGGCCAGGCTAAAAAAATATTTGTTGACATTCCTGTTTTTTCTTTCTTTTTAAAGTAAATAGAGCTTCGGCCTGCAGTCTGAAGGACCCTAGGATCGAATCAACTCCTTCCCATCAAGGGTACATACCTCTGTTGCAGGCTTGATTTCCCAGCCCTGGTCGGGGTGCGTGCAGGAGGCAACCAATTGATGTGTTTCTCTCACATCGATGTTTCTCTCTCTCGGTCTCTCCCCCTCCCTTCCACTTTCTGGAAAAATAACCTCGGGTGAAGATTAACACAAAATAAATAAAAGGAGGACTAGTTCTTTTTATTTTTATTGATTTTAGAGAGTGAGGAAGAGAAAGAGAAACATCAGTGTAAGAGCAATACAGTATGTGCCCTGACCAGGAATTGACCCTGTGACCTTCCAGTGCACAAGACAGCACTTCAACCAACTGAGCCACACCAGCCGAGGCCTGACTGCTCTTTCTAACGTAGGCTCTTTGGTTACTCCTCTGTTTACTTCCTTTATAGCACCTTTCACAGCCTGCAATTACCTTATTTATGTATTTGCCTGTTGTATGTGTCCATCAAGCAGACTGTAAATTAAAGGAGGGCCGTATCCTTGCCCAGCCTCATTCAGACAGTGCCTGGCACTTAGCAGGTGCTCTCCATAAATCTTTGAGAACTGATTGGCATAATATTGGCTGAGCCTATAGAGCAGTGGTTCTCAACCTTCCTAGTGCCGCGACCCTTTAATACAGCTCCTCATGTTGTGGTGACCCCCCAACCATAAAATTATTTTCGTTGCTACTTCATTAACTGTAATTTTGCTACTGCTATGAATCGTAATGTAAATATCTGATATGCAGGATGTATTTTCATTGTTCGCGACCCACAGGTTGAGAACCGCTGCATAGAGTGAGGGCAGAAAGGGGAGGGCAAGGCCAGGAGGAGACTATGACAAACACTCCAGAGGGGCTAAGACCCCACCTCTCTCTGCCTCTGGCCCTGGGAAGGGTCGGCATGCACCAGGGCCCGAGGGGCCCAGATGGCCCCGGACCACCTGCCCAATTGTCCATTGCTAGGTCTGAGAAAATCCAATTCCCATTCTCCCCTTTCTGGCCTTCTGGCGGCTGACTCAGGGCAGTGGGGGTTTCCAGAAAAGGGAAGAGGGGACCCCGCTGGAACCCTAGATCTGCCCGTCGCGTGTGGAAGTGGGTAGCAAAAGCTGTGGCCTGGCGCATGGTAAAAGCCTTGAACGCCAGGTCTGTTTGACCCCAAAACTCAGTGTGGCAGCCCCACTCTACCCGGCTCCTCTTGCGCAAGCCAGGCTCGGCTCGGGAGTCTGCAATTCCGCCCAGGCCCGGAGGGGGGCAGCACTGGGCTGCACCTGGGGGCACTGGCCAGGGACTGAGGCATTTAAAGGGGAGTGTGGAAGACGCGGCAGGGTGAAAGCAAGCGTCGGGGTCTCCTCTTCCGTTTTCTGGAAACCCCCGGTGCCGTGGGGAAACTCCCCAGAAGCCCAGAACTCACTCTGACTTCAGCATAAACCCCGAAGACGGGGAAAGAAATGGGCGCCCAGTCCCCAGGGCGGGTGGGGAGGGGCGGAGCGGCGGCTGGCCCCACACCCTGGAGGAAGCCACGTGGTGACCTGCAGTATGGCTGCGTCTTTAAGGCGTGAGCAGGGGGCGGGGCCTCGAGGCGGGACGGGCGGGTGGGGGCGGGGCTTCCTGGTGATCAAGCCCGCGGAGGGTGTGGCTTCCCGGTGACTCGCCGCCAGGAAGGGGGCGGGCTCTCCATGACGAGTCGCCGGGGAGGGGGCCGGCGTTCATTGATAAAAACGACGGGCTCCCTCGGGCGCGAGCCCAGCGTAGCAAGTCCAGACGGCGTCCCGCGCGGCCCCGCGGGTGGGACCGAGATCCAGCCCGGCCCGCGCTGCGACGCACGGCCCGCATGGAGCCCGCGGCCGGCCTCCTGTCCCCGCGCCCCTTCCCGAGCACGCCCGCTCCGCCCGCGCCCCCCGCCGGGCCCGGGCCGCCGCCGCCGGATGCCAGGCCGGGACCTGAAGTGGAGACGCTGGCCGCGCCGCCGGCGCCGGACCCCGGGCGCCTCATCACGGACCCAGGCAGCGGCCGCACCTACTTCAAAGGCCGCCTGTTGGGCAAGGTGAGCTCGGGGTGGTGCTGGCGAGGGTGCGGGGGGCCTTGCCAGCCTCTTGGCCCGCGCCGGGCGCGGTGGGGACGCTGGGGATCTCTGCGGGCCCGATCCGGCCTCCCGGGGAGCACATGCCTGATGCCCCCTCCTTACAGGGGGGCTTCGCCCGCTGCTACGAGGTCACGGACACAGAGACCGGCAGCGCCTACGCGGTCAAAGTCATCTCGCAGAGCCGCATTACCAAGCCGCATCAGCGCGAGAAGGTGGGCTCGGGCCCGGGCCTGGCGGATGAGGCGCGGGGTGGGGACGGTGGCGTGGGAGCCCCTGAAGGATGACGATCCTGCTGCACCCCCATTGCAGATCCTAAATGAGATTGCGCTGCACCGCGGCCTGCAGCACCGCCACATCGTGCGTTTCTCGCATCACTTCGAGGATGCTGACAACATATACATTTTCTTGGAGCTCTGCAGCCGAAAGGTGAGGGATGGTGATTCGGGGTGAGGGGATCCAAAGCTGGAGATCCTGTCTCTTCCTCACGGAACACGGGTTGAGGGAGGGCCAGGGAGGGCGGTCCAGGGACTGAGGCGGTGGTCCTCTGTAGTCCCTGGCCCACATCTGGAAGGCCCGGCACACCCTGTTGGAGCCAGAAGTGCGCTACTACCTGCGGCAGATCCTTTCGGGACTCAAGTACTTGCACCAGCGAGGCATCTTGCACCGAGACCTCAAGCTGGGTGAGACTCCTGGGCCAGGGGGCCAGGGGTCGGGGTGGGGGTGGGGAGGCTTAGAAAGGAGTGTGACACACCTCTCTGCCCCCTTACAGGAAATTTTTTTATTACTGAGAACATGGAACTGAAGATGGGGGATTTTGGGCTGGCAACCCGGTTGGAGCCCCCAGAGCATAGGAAGAAGTGAGTGTTTCAGGGGGTGGCACAGTGAGTGTGTGACGCAGATGACTGCCTGACAGGCAGCACCCCTGTGGGAAGCAGGATGATTGCCTGGTGTGTGTGTGTGTGTGTGTGTGTGTGTGTGTGTGTGTGTGGCAGATGGGGAAGATGATGGGCTGTTTGTGTGTGAAGGTAGAGGTGGCAGCCTGGGTTGCTGGGGCTGGTGGAGAGGCTGAGGGCCCTATGGGTGCCTGAATCCCTGAGACAGATCGGGATATAAGGATTCTTGGAGCTGTATGACCAATCTTGTGTGGATGGGGGCAGGTGACACAGTATTGTGTGTGAGAGACAGACAGAGAGTGTGGGAATGGCAGATGACACCCTGTATGTAAGAAGACCTTGCTGTGGCCATGACTGGGTGTGAGGGACACACAGCATGTGTGGCAGATGAGTGTTTATGGGGGATGTGACAGCTGGTGTTGGTGTGTGTATGTGGCACAGACCGTAGGAGGTGACAGCCCGTATGGGTGTCTGACAGATGGGAGTGGGGGAAGGAGGAAGGGATCAGTGATGGGCTCTCTGTTGACCCTGGAGAAGGGGGCTGGGTTGGGGGGGCAGGCCCCCCCCCCCCCCCCCCCCGGTCCTACAGAGCAGCTGAGCAGCTGGGCCAGGCAGGTGGGCGGGGACTCAGCTGCCATCCCCAGCATCCATTGTCCCAGGACAAGCAGGAGTTCTCTGGCCTTTGGTGACAGGCAGCTGCTTTGTCTGGACTCACAGTGGGGGCGGGGATGGGGCGAGGGCTCGCTAGGCTGGGCCTAAACCCTCCCCTCTCCTCCCCTTTCCAGGACCATCTGTGGTACCCCTAACTACGTGGCTCCGGAAGTGCTGCAGAGACAGGGTCACGGCCCAGAGGCAGATGTGTGGTCCCTGGGCTGTGTCATGTGAGTCCCAGGTCATCTGCACACAGATGGGTGCACGGGTGGGGCATACCTCCCACTTTACTCCTGACCCCTTATCTCCGCCCACAGGTACACACTGCTATGTGGGAGCCCCCCCTTTGAGACAGTCGACCTGAAGGAGACGTACCGCTGCATCAAACAGGTTCACTACACGCTGCCCGCCAGCCTCTCACTGCCTGCCCGGCAGCTCCTGGCTGCCATCCTTCGAGCCTCGCCCCAGGACCGCCCCTCAATTGACCAGATCCTGCGCCATGACTTCTTTACCAAGGTCTGTGGGTACAGACACCTCCGTCCAGTTCGCACATCCCCAGGGGATGGAAGGGGGGCAGGTGCAGGACCCTCCCTTTTCTGCTCACATGGCTCCACTCCTCAGGGCTACACCCCCGACCGGCTCCCTATCAACAGCTGCGTGACAGTCCCAGACCTGGTACCCCTTAGCCCAGCTAGGATTCTGTTTGTCAAAGTTACCAAGAGCCTCTTTGGCAGGAAGAAGAACAAGAGTGAGTCTGGGATGCCAGTGGTTTTGAGGGTACAGAGTGGGGGGGGTGGGGGGTGTTACATACACATACATGGTGGTGGGGTGAGTACCTGGGAGCCCCTGGGGAGAGCGTGTGTTACACAGGCTGTATCATCCTGTGGGAAGCAGGATACTGAGGGCTCCATCTGCCCCCATCCAGGTAAGAACCGTCCCGAGGAGCGGGACGAGGTTTCCTGTCTGGTGAGCGGCCTCACTCGGACGTCCATTGCCCATCAGGATGCCAAGCCTGAGGTGAGGTGCTCACACGGGCAAGGGTTCCCTGACTCACCCCACCCTAGCAGCTGCGGGAAGCTCGGGATTAAAGAGGCTGGTGAAGCATCTGGCCTCGTGGTGGCCTAATTGGCTGTGTCTCATTAGCCAGGCGGGGCTGACCTGGGCTGACCTGGGGTGACCTGGGTGCCAGGGCAGGGCTGAGCCATGGACTCTCAAAGATTTGGATTTTGCCCTGACCGATTTGGCTCAGTGGATAGAGCGTCGGCCTGCGGGCTGAAGGGTCCCGGGTTCAATTCCAGTCAAGGGCATGTGCCTTGGTTGCGGGCACATCCCCAGTAGCGGGTGTGCAGCTGATCAACGTTTCTCTCTCATTGATGTTTCTAGCTCTCTATCCCTCTCCCTTCCTCTCTGTAAAAAAACAATAAAATATATTAAAAAAAAAAAAAAAAAGATTTGGATTTCGGGGCCTATCTCACCACTCCTTTCCCTTACCCAATCCTCCAGGCTCCAGCAGCTTCTGGTCCAGCCCCCCTCAGCCTGGTAGAGACAGCGCCCGAAGACAGCTCACCCCGTGGGACACTGGCGAGTAGTGGAGATGGTGAGCAGCCAGGAGTATGAGAGGTGCTAGCGGTTACTGGGCTGAAACCAGGGACCAGAGGGGAGGAGGGAGCAAGAGGACATGGCCTGCGTCCTAGGGGACTAATGCCTAATTCTGAGTACCCGTTCCCGTTAGGGTTTGAAGAAGGTCTGACCGTGGCCACAGTGGTGGAGTCGGCGCTCTGTGCTCTGAGAAACTGCCTGGCCTTCATGCCCCCAGGTAAGGTTGGGGTCTGGGACATGTGGATGGTGGTGGAAGCTCTTTGGCTGGGAGGCCAGGAACAGGCCCTACTCCTTCCTCTCCCATGACAGCGGATCAGAACCCGGCTCCCCTGGCACAGCCAGAGCCTCTGGTGTGGGTCAGCAAGTGGGTTGACTACTCAAACAAGTTTGGCTTTGGGTATCAGCTGTCCAGCCGCCGAGTGGCCGTGCTCTTCAACAATGGCACACACATGGCGCTGTCGGCCAACAGAAAGTAAGTGCTGTTATGGGGTGTCTTGTATCCAGGCCATTGTACCCAGCAGGGCTGCACCTTGGTGTGTGCTCCTGGGCTCGGGGCCTGGGCTCCCTGTGACCTCCGTCTCCTCCCCTCCAGGACTGTGCACTACAACCCCACCAGCACCAAGCACGTCTCCTTCTCTGTGGGTGCTGTGCCTCGGGGCCTGCAGCCTCAGTTGGGTGTCTTGCGGTATTTCACCTCCTACATGGAACAGCACCTCATGAAGGTGTGTGGACTGGGATGGGGCACATGGAGGACTAACATCCTGGTCCCTTCCTGTTCCCTTTTGTGGAGGGGCTCAAAGCTAAAGGCTGAACCTCTAAGGGAGACATCAGTGGAGAGGGCCCTGACTCATGTCAGACGAGTGACTTGCCTCTGCTCCCAGGGTGGAGATCTGCCTAGTGTGGAAGAAGTGGAGGTGCCTGTCCCCCCACTCCTGCTGCAGTGGGTCAAGACTGATCAGGCCCTACTCATGCTGTTTAGTGATGGTACGGTCCAGGTAAGAGCTTGTCTGGGATTGGGGAAGGTCGGGAGGCCTAGGATGGTGGGGAGGAAACGACTGGGGACCTAGGGCCTGATCCATGCCACCCTCCTGTGCACAGGTGAACTTCTACGGAGACCACACCAAGCTGATCCTCAGTGGCTGGGAGCCCCTCCTTGTGACTTTCGTGGCCCGCAACCGCAGCGCTTGTACTTACCTTGCTTCCCACCTTCGGCAGCTGGGCTGCTCCCCGGATCTGCGGCAGCGGCTCCGCTATACTCTGCGGCTGCTCCGGGACCGCTGCTCAGCCTAGGCCCAGCCTGCAGAGCGGGCTACCACCCCAGCCCTCAGGCCTGAGGCCGGTGCCTGTAAGGCTCTGGCCCTGGCCTCTGTGGCCCTCCCTGTCCCTTTGGTGCCTCACTGGGGGCTCTGGGCCTAATCCCCCAGGGAATCAGGGACCAACTTCACTGGGGTTGCAGGCCGCCTGTCGTAGCTGCCTCCTACCCCTTCTCCAAGAAGAGCCTGAGCCTTAGCCCCCAGCTAGGGGGCGCTATTTATGGACCACTTTTATTTATTGACAGATTTATTTATTGGGATGTGCCGCCCTAGGGAGGGCCTCCTCCTGGGATAATAAACCGTTTTGCAGAACTTGGATGCCTCCTCACTCGTAGTAGAGCCCATGGACCGTGGCCACTGCAAAGAGCGAGGCGTTGGTGAAGGTGGCGGAGGCCAGGCCGTCATGTGCCCCGTCCCAGAGCGCACGGCTGACCACGTGCACGCCCTGGCCCGTGTGCTGCCCCAGCACCACGCTGCACACCAGCTTGTAGCGGGGCGGGCTGAGCTCTCGCAGGCGCGTGTGTACCAGTTCGCACAGCTCCCGCGCCAGGGGCCCTGCCTTGGTGCCAGAGTAGACTGTGTCTTGTAGTTCTGTGGCCAGCACTTCCTCCAGGGCATGTTGTGTTCGCGTGGCCTCCCAGCGCTCCCCAGGCGCTGGCTCAGTGCGATATGAGGGTGCCATCCGCCGAGGAGGTGCCAGGAGCAACCCGGAGAAGCTGATCCTTGAGCCTAAAGGCGGCATTGGGCCCAAGGATGGTCGCCGGCCCCCAGGACCCATGCCTGGTCCAGCCAGCGAGTTGCGGCGGGAAAAGGATGAAGTCAGGCCCAGCACTGAGCCGCGGCGGGAGGCTGGGCCCGGACCTGCTGGTCGGGCCTCATCAATGCTGGGCAGATGGCCTGGAGGCCGGACCAGCGATTGTTTCAACCCGGGGTCTTTGGCAGTCTCCTCCTCCTGGCGTCCGGGGGGCACAGGCCTACCAGCCATGGACCTGCTGGCTGAGAGACCCACCCTTGGGTTGGGTGGCCTTCACCTTTGAATACCACTCATTTTCTTACTTGGTAGTAAGGTTACCCCCTAACCTCTTCTTACCTGTGTTTTTGAGACACGGAAATCAAATAGTCCAAGGCTGAGTGGATTCCTAGGTGCTTAGAGGATTAAGTGCTGTTAGGGACATAAACAAGGAAAGAGATGCTGTTTAATTGTCATCTTGGACTCGACCCTGTCCCTTGAGCTCCTTCGCCTGGACACTGGGGGTCAGCCAGCAGGAGAAGGGGTGGAGGTATCTGTTTTTTGCCTCAGCCCAGACAGTGGTGCCTTCAACCCCTAACCAGAAGGAGGGACGGACAGACCCAACTCCAACCCACAGGTCCTAGCCCTGTGGGTGTTAAATTCAGTCATCTTCCACCCCCACCTGCTTCTAGGACGGTGGGCACAGATTTCTCCCCACACCTGGCTGAGGCTGGGGGTGGGTGATACAGGAAGCTCCTTCGCCCACTGCTTTTGGCCTCAGGCCCTACCTCCAGAATCAGTTCTTGGATGGCAGCTCTCTTCTGAAATCCCTGCAGGCACCCTGTCACCTGCAGCCTTTGGCCTCCAGCTCTCACAGCCTGGGTGGCCTGACCCGCAGGTGGGAGAAGAAGGGCCCCTTGCCTGTGTTGTGGAGTTGCCATGGGTTGCTGGGCAAACACTCCTCCCTTCCTGGTTCCCTCCCTCCCTCCGGGCTCTGACTTAACCTGGGAGTGTTACTCCTGTGAGCAGGTGCTGAGCGCAGGGTGCCTGAGTCACCAGGGGAGAGGGGACAACTGGGGCGCAGAGCCCAGGAACATTCCACCCCGACAAGGACAACTGGGAGCAGATGTAGCAAGGGGTGCTGGTCAGAAAGGTGCCCCTACCCCAGGGCTCTGAAGCCACTGTCCATTTCTCTTCTTGTGAAGAATGCCTCTTCGCTCTTCCCTTGTGAGTCTCAGAGGCCTGGGATATGGGGAGGCCTTGAGGCTGCTGCGGGGGCGGCTGCTCGGGAATCAGGATGTGGGCCCACAGGAAGGAGCACATCATGACTCTATCGTCTCTCCTTCAGTCTAAACAAGGACAAATATTTCCGCTCCCTGAGCAGAGCTAGGGTGGGGCGTGGCTGACTTCCTCAACTCAGGGCTGCCTCAGCACAGGGGAGGGGGGGCTCACTCAACTAGGCATCCAGCCTTCTCCGACCCCTGCTGACCAAGAACTCAGGGGCTGGTCCCCAGCTTGCCACGCCTCTTGGGTTGCATTTCAGGGATGCCAGAGGCCATGACTCCTTTGTCAGAGCTGACACCTCCTCACCTGGCCCCTCTGGGAGAGACAGGACTGCCGTCTCCCAAATAAGCCGTGCCTGGGCCCTGAGAACCTGGGCTTTCCCTTCCTGGCCTGTGTTATGAAGTTGCCATGCGTTGCTGGGCAAGCACTCCCTTCCTGGTTCCCTCCCTTGTTGAGGGGGGTTTCCCAGACCTGGCTAACCTGATCCTCACTCTGTGCGTGTGGGTGAGGGGTAGGAGGGCAGGGAGTTAGAACTCCGAACCCAGGACCGGCAGGGCCAGGGTGCTTATGCCCTCCGATTCTGCTTAGGGCCCCTCTGAAGTCTGAGGTTTTTCCTGGGCCTGTGGGAGATGGGCGGGGCCTCCTCAGGCCAGGCTCCAGTTTCCTTGGAAACCCACAGGCTTCCCACCCTAGTCGGCCTGGGCAGGCTCCCAGCTGGGGCCTCATTTGCAGTTAGCTTCTCCTCCCCCATTTAGTCTGCTCCAACTCGGCCTCTTTTGGTCCCCTCCCTGGGTCCCCAAGCCGAGCCTCTGGCCTCCTCTACCAGCCTCTGATGCCTTCTTCAGACACCTGGGCCTCTCCTGCCCCATCCCTCAACAGCTTCTCAGCCAGCGGGCCTCCCAAACCCCCGCCCCTCCCTCTCTGGCCTTTCTAGTCTCTTTACCAACTGGAAGGCCTGGCCAGGCCTCCTGCTCCTTCCCAGCTACTGCCTCCCACATACGGACCTACAACAGGCCTGCTAGGCTATTTCACTCACACCCCTGCCCCCGCCCACCCATGGAGGCCCCTGGACTGGTGCATGGGGGAGCTGAGCGCTTCTCCAAAGCCCTCCGAAGCCTCGTCAACAATCGCCTGTACAGGTGAGGGGGTGGGTCCTCTCTGTGGGTTTCCATAGCCCTGAGTGCAGGAGAGGCGGGGAGTTAGGACTTGACCCTCTTGAACTCAGGGGCCATAATATCCCCAGACCAGAGGTGGAGGGCAGCGGGTGACCGTGTGGCCTGAGGCAAAGGCCTTCCTTTTTTGGATGTTGGGCTCCTAGCAAAGAGCCCCCTGCCCCTGGATCCGGAGAGATGGGAAGTAGCTTGAGTCCCTCCCTGGGGAGGCAGAGGAGCAGATGACCCTGTCCTAGGAACTGGGGATTTACTAGAGGAACGAAGTTCAAGAGATTGAGCCAGTGTCTCAGACAGGAAGTGGTTCAAGGGTGCTGTCTGGGGCTCAGTGTCTGCCTAGGACACAAGGGGTCTGAAACCAGGAATAGAGAATGGGGGCAGGCTGGTCGGGAGAATTGGCATGTAGCTTGCTGTCCCCACTGGCTCAGAGCCAGGCTCCTCACAAAGGTGGCTGAATCCCATAACCTACTGCTTTGGAGGCCACAGGCCTTGGAACTGGGACCAGGAGGCTTCAGGAAGTCAGCTTTCATCCCCTGCCTCCTACCCACGTTATTGTCAGAGGCCAGAGGCTGGGGCCGGAAGTGATCATGAAGATGGAAAATGTGGTCTGGCCTCTTGATGGTGCATTACTGCTGTCTCTGTACCATTATCCTCCCACCACCTCTTGCCTGGAGGAGGCTGAAAAAAGCTGAGTGTGCAGTCTGTGGAGGAAGAGCAAGCAGCGTTTCCCCTCCCCCAAGACTCGGGCTGGGGAGGAGAGGGTATGTGCAATCCATCAGCCCTGGAGCTTCTTCAGTGATCAAGCACAGCCACCTCCTCCCAGACCGGAGAGTTTGGGATTACCGTCCCATTTCATGGGGGAGCAAACTGAGATTCAAAGGTAGAAAGTCACTTGCCTGAGGTACCATAGGGTGGAGCTGGGACTAGAACACAGGCCTTTGTATTCCAAACCTTCGGCTGGAAGAACTAAGCCTTGTCTCGAAGACACAGAATGGGTAAAGGCAAAGCCTAGAGTTGCACCCTAGACTCCGGCCTCTTCTCCCCTGGCTCTCTGCCCGTCTCTTCCACAGTGATGTTCGCTTTGTGGTCGGTCAAGAACAGCAGGAGGTGTTTGCCCACCGGTGCTTGCTGGCCTGTAGATGCAACTTTTTCCAGCGACTTCTGGGCCCAGAGCCAGGCCCTGGGGTGCCTAGCCCGGTGGTGCTAAGCACCATACCAGCGGAGGCCTTCCTGGCAGTGCTGGAGTTCTTGTACACCAACAGTGTCAAGCTGCACCGCCATTCTGTGAGCCCACTGGGCAGAGGTCTGGGGGGCGGGTGGGGGGGTGGGGGAGGGTGGAGAGGAAGCGGGGTTGAGGAGCAGGGAAAACTCTTCCACTTCAACCACCACTTTGCAGGTGCTGGAGGTGCTGACAGCAGCGGTGGAGTATGGGCTGGAGGAACTGAGAGAGGTGGGTTTATGGGCAGGCCCCTCTCCTTTCCCTTGCCTCTGATGGGTTCATTTCATACCCTTCCTCACACTCATTCTGTCCCGGAGAGGAACATGTACCAACACCGGGAGAAGTATCTTACTGTGTTAATAGGCATTTATGTGTGCCTGTGTGCAAAAGGATGCCTGCATGCCTGGTGTGTGCTGGGGGAGCATATGGGGTGTTTATGGCTGGTGCCGTATATACCAGATAAGAGCCTTCATCCTTGTTCTTCAAATAGAAATAGACATGAAAACTCTCCTTTGTGGAGGGCTGGGCTTGCCAAGGCTTAGGCCCTGGTGATTCCCTGTCTCCCCGGCCTGGGAGTCCATGGGCCTGGGCCTGAGCCTGCTAGGAGTCTGATGGCTGACGGTTCCAAGCCTGCTCACTGCTTCTGGGATGGGTGGGGGTCTGGGGGCAAGGATACCTCAGCACAACCTACATTCATTTCTGTTTCCAGCTATGTCTGGGGTTTGTGGTGAAGGTGCTGGACGTGGAGCTGGTTTGTGAGGCTCTGCAGGTGGGTGTTGCTGGACCCAAGCAGGCAGTCCCCAGCGTGGAGGGCTGGGCTACTAGTACACGGCCTCTCATCGCTACCTTGATCTCCCTTATTCTGCTCCCAGGTGGCTGTAACCTTTGGCCTGGGACCTTTGCAGGAGCGTTGCATAGCCTTCATAGAGGCCCACAGCCAGGTACAGCTCCCCATTTTCGTACAACCCCACACACCTCATTCTGCTCCTCCCTGACCCACTCCTGGACCCACAGGAAGCACTTCGGACCCGCGGCTTCCTGGAGCTGTCAGCGCCCGCGTTGCTGCTCCTACTGCGCAGTGACAAGCTCTGCGTGGATGAGGCCGATCTGGTCCTGGCGGCCCGGAGCTGGGCGCGCGTGGGAGCGGTGAGCGGGGCGAAGGGGAGCGCGGGCTGAGGGTGCTGAAGGATCGGGCTGCCAGAACCGGCGAGCGGGCCGTGGGCCAGGTGCCCCGCTCCCCGCCCGGGCTCAGGGCTGGTGTTCGCAGGCGGTGCTGGAGAGGCCTGTGGCCGAGGTAGCAGCCCCAGTGGTGCGGGAGCTGAGATTGGCCCTGCTGGCCCCGGCGGAGCTGAGTGCCCTGGAAGAGCAAAACCGGAGGGAGCCGCTCATCCCGGTGCGGAGGCGGGGAACCAGGCTCAGAGCCACTCGGCAGCGTGGGGTGGGGGGTGGCACAGGGTCTGGGGGGTGAGGGGGGCACCGTGGGACTCCACCGTGAGTGACCGGCCTTCCCCTGAAGGTGGAGCAGATCGTGGAGGCGTGGAAATGCCACGCTCTGCGAAGAGGAGACACGGCCCGAGGTGCGTCGTGCCGCCGCCGGAGGGGCACCCTGCCCCGGGAGCATCACCGCTTTCTGGACCTGCCCTTAAAGTGAACGAAGGCCAGGTCTCGCGAGGAATGCCGGGCCTCCCCTAAACTACATCTCCCGACATGCTCGGCCCTCTGAGCGGGCTTCCGCTCCCACCATGCTCGGCGAGCGGCGCGCGGGAAGCCCCGGGCCGACCGGGCGCAGAGCTCTGTGGGCGGGGCCGAGGAGGGGCCGGGAGGGCGCGGGCGTGCGCTGGGCCCCAAATCGTTTTCCCTGGCGCCATACCCTAACCCCACCCGGCCCCTGGGCACTCTCGTCCGCCCCATTTACTCTGGCACTTCCAGGCTCAGCCCCTTCTTTCATTCCAGACCTGCCTCCTGGAGGCCGCTTTGTAACTGCCCCACGGACACCTCAGACTCTGTTCGAAACCGAGCCTCCTCGTCTTTCCCGGTTCCGACCCCATGTGTGTCCCATGTCCGTGAGCGCCGAGCCCGCACCCGGCCCCTGGCGTCCTCCCGCTCGCGCCTGCTTCCGCCGCCTTCACAGGGACCAGGCCGCGGCCTGTGCCAGGCCCAAGTGTGCCTTCGGACATAAGGGTTATTTTAAGCTGCCCTTTCGTAGGGGAAGTTTATGTTTATAAAGGAATCTCCATGTGTAAGGGCGCCTCCCTCTGTCCCAGGAGAAGGATGACTCATCACGAGGAGCTCGTCGGTGGAAAGGCGCCCCTGGGAGCCGACCGCCCTCACCTCCGGCCCCGCTGTTCTCCTCTCGGCGGGAGGTGGAGTTCCAGTGGGTGCTTTAGGCCGCGCAGGGACTTCCTCATTCTCCCTGGGCCTCTCCATGTGCACACCAAGTGCTCACGTTAATAAACGTGCTTTTCTCTTGTTAACCTGTGCTTTTGTTATGGGGTCTCAGCCAAGAGCTCAGACGAGAGGAAAGGTATTTTTTCTCCTTGACAAGATTTTTACAGCTGTTTCAGCTCTTTCCGCCAGTCTGTCCGCGCAGGAATTACGGAAACAGGAGAATTACCTCCTCGCGCC